AGTTTTACTTGCAAAATATGGCAAACTGTCCTTTGAAGTTAATTATAATCAAACTCCTTATGCTTTATTTATGGTATTTTTTTATTTAAATGCAAACTACTTTCACTGTTTTGTAAATATTTCTTTTCCTTTTTTACAAGCTGCTGGTAATTTTAACTTGCAGTTCGATTGATTCCTAAAGTGAATATATATATATATATATAAATCACATGATTATAAGCAAAAATTGGTAAAATTCTAGCATAGTATGAAATGGAAAGAAAACAGAACTTGCAGTGTGTCCCAAAATAAATTTGGCAGGTGAAAATTTTGCAGCATTTTTATAACTGGGAGAAAAAGCTCCATAAGTCTGGTGATGACAGAGAAAATTTAAAAGAAATGGAAGACTTTTTTAATGATTTGTATTCATATTACTCATGGGGAAGCCCACGAAAATTTTCCTGCAGCTACTTTTGCCTGAGTTGAACCCACTTCCAACTGTCTGTGGTTAGTAGTTATTCTGACCTAATTTTGCAAAGATTAAATTTTCACCCATTTTATTTAACTTGCATTTTAAGTTATTGAGTGAATTATTTTATATTTTTGTTGCAGAAATTGTTCAATTTTACTTTCCAAATTTTCAAAGTTGCAAAATCTTGTTTTTAACAACTTTTTATCTAATTCTTTTATGCATTTCTTGATGAGTAGATTCACATGTATTTTTTTCCCCAGAAATATTGAGAATTCAAGATTGGAAGACCTTCCTTGTTATAGCAAACCTTGAACTTTATCCTAGAAGGTGCAAGTGAGAATTTAATTTTTGTGAAATTACAAGGGGGATATCAGTTCCTTTGCACACAGCTAACTTATGATTACTGTACAAAATCATGCAGCATGATAATAATCACAGATATGCTACTGAACTTGGCTCATTTTAGATTTGAGTTGAATCTAAAATGCATCTGCTTTTGTATGATGAAATAAAGTCTTGAAAATATTTAAATAGAAATGAGCTCTTTGGAAGATATCATACTACCTCACTGACCATTGTCCTGAAATTTTGAACTATATAAAGTAGTATTTTCTAAAGCATTACCATAGTGTGTACCTAAAATTCTGTATTTTTTCATGTTTTTTTAAGATAAAAGACTGCTTCTTAAGGTGCCGTTTACCTGATGGAAAACTATATATTCAGTTTCAGATTTGCTCAGATCTGAAATACACTATCCGACACTGAAAATGCAATATCAAGAAGGAGTGGCAAGAAAGTAATGAAACTCGGTAAACAGAGAGAGACAGCAGTGAACAATAAGTGATCTTCATTTTGAAATGATATGCATAATACAGAGGAAGAAGACCGTCGGCTCAGTAGGTTGTAGGATCAACTAGGACAGCGATACACGAAGTGACACATCTAGGTACAGAGTCGTTGAGACTACGGATGGTATCCTGAGGAATGGCTCTGCATTCCCTGTCAACCATTTGCTGCAGTTTGTTTTCTGAATGCGGCAATGTCAGGGTCTGTGAATGGCATCCAATCACATCCTAGTGCTCTGAAATCATACGCAATTTTTTTTTTCACCCCAAACCATGATGCTGCATTGTCGCATGATGGGGTGTTCTACAATTGCTACTGGATTGGCCATCTTCACATCAATGTCACACTTGTATGCGGTGACTATCATTAGAAAAAGAGAAGCGTAAGTTACCTGAGAAAACAACCCTGTGCCATTCATTTGTCCACATCACTCAGGCCTCGCACCATTGCAGACATTGGCAACTATGATGTGGGATCAATGGCAGTCTTCTTAACGGATGCCACAAGTGCAGACCACTAGCTACCAATCAATGGCAAATGATTCTGGTCAATGTGGGAATATCTAGGGCGTCTTGAATATGCTGCAGAATAAAAGTGGCTTGCGGGCGTGCCACCCCTTATCGGTGGATGCGTCGATCAACGCGTTCTGACGTCACTCCTCGAACTTGCAACATTTCCTTTTCCAACCGTCATTGCCATAGCTGGTGCACTGTGGACGTGTCCAGGTGTGTGTCAGCTGAGATTTGCCGTATGGACCAACTTGCCCTTGCTAGTCCAATCACCATGTCCTGTGCTATTACACGCATCCTCTGAGACAAGAACAAATTTTCTACGATGATTTCCCTAGCAGAAATAATGGCATGAAAATTTAACATTCTGCAGGTTCCTTCCCTGATATCTTCTTGAACATGTGATGGAGAGCTGCACATTCCACATCATTCGCATAACTTGGTGACATGCTACTACCTTGAAATTTGCATAATTTCCGGGCCACCACTTCTTGGTGTTACATTTTCAATGTCGGGTAGTGTAAAAGGAGGTAGAATAAGTTTCATCAAGAATTTTTTCCCCATTCAATGTACACTTCTTAGAAACATGTAAAATTTTTTTCATAGAAAATTAACGTTCAGTCGTAGAGTTAAATTTGCAGGTATTGGAATAGTTAATTCTTCAGACTTACTGTTAAAGGAAGTTTCCCATACAAACAGTATTTCACAAGTTTCTATGTGAAAGTTTCAGAACTACCATTTATGGTTAACATCATTCTAGTTTTCTATTTTTAGCTGACATAGGAAAGAAAGTGAATATACCATGCAATGAACTGTCATTCTCCATGAGATTAAACAATGACAAAAAATTTATAGCTTCAAGTTTAGCAAATCTTTGATACTACTTGTGACATTTTGTTAAAGCAGGAACTCGCACTGCATGGTCAATTTACAACATTGTAAATAAATTCCCTCTCGCCAAAAAAGTACCAGAGACAGATAAAGAATTTAGTCCAAATGTCCCCATGATATGAAAATGATTTCACCACAATACACAATCCTACTCCACTTCAGAAACTAATGATCTGAATTCAATGCCCTTATCCACAATGCAGAAATAAGTAATTTGATTAATAAGCAATACTCGTACTTTACTGCTCATCAATTATAACAGGCTGAGTTACTGCTTTTCTCTTTCTATCATTAGATTGAAACTTAAAAAAAAAAAAAAAAAATCGTCTTGTACATCATGTGCAGCAAACATTTCTGTTTCTATGTATGGCTTGAGAAAATTATGTGGCAACATCAGCTGGTGTGTGATTTATATAACATATTTTATTTATTATTCCCATTTAATTTCTTAAATAGAAACGGATATCTTTATAATGATTTTTAAAGAAAATTAAAATTATCTTCAATTCTTAATTAAAGGGAAAAAATTTTAACTTATAGCGAACAGCTTCAGTTGTATATCTGTTTGTACAGGGGAATCCTAGTTCGAGTGTCCACTTTAATTTAAAAAACTCTTGGAGGGTAGGTTGAGTTCCTTGCACATTCTTACACATAATCAGTACTCCACATAGCAAGGTGTACCTTCCATGTGGAGTTTCTGATTTATAAAAAGAAGGATGTAATACTTCTGAAAACCATGTTTCCATCTCGTATATTTTTTAATTACAGGACTTCATTACTATATTCAAAATCTCAACTTTGTCTGCTAGATGCCCATAAAATGCCTATTCATGAGTATTTAATATGGCTAATATACCAACAGAATATTTCACTTGGTTCTCTTTTAAGTGTCATATTTTTACTTCCTTACATGAAGTAAAGGTAGTATCATAATTGTGAAAAATTTCAGGTTTAGAATTTTAATGCAAATATCTATTTCGACTGTTTTTTTGTGCGACATCTGTAGGACTCTTATTCCAAAACAGTTAATAAAATGAATTTAAAATAAATTCATGATGTCTATATGTACATATATATTCGCATAAATCAAAAACAATTAGCCATACAATTTCAAAGTACTTTGAAATTTTATATATGGGATTGCTATAACATCTAGTTGTACGCTTCCTTTTTTTATTGCAATCAGCAGTACTAGAAGTATTTATATACCATACGCCTTAGCTAGAATATATTTTTGCAATTGTTGATTGTAGACATATACTTAAAAATACAATTCTTTAAATGATGAAAATATTTGTGTTTTGGCAATTTAAAATTTAAAAAAAAAAATAATTTTAGACAAATAATGAAATCTAACTTTTAATGTAGTCTCCCGATTCCTATACTTATATTTGTGAGTTTTATACTTATGAAAAATATAAAAGTACAAGAAGTTTAGAATATTGATGGTCCCTAAAAAAGTTCAGCATTCATTCTTAATTCTGTAGCAAACTGATAAGCTCTTATACACCTATTAGCTATGTCTTTAACTTTCTAGAATATTTCGAACATTTAGATACTAACTGGATGATCTCAGCATGAGTCGCTTAGCAGACTATGTTTAAAAAAGGCTCACTGCCCATCTATTAGCAGCCACATATAAAGATGCAGTTTTCTCAAACACATTCCTCATACATTTGTATATACTAGTAACTTTTTTTTTTCCTTGGTGAAATATTAGAAACTCTCACAAATTATAAACATTCTTATTACAGCAACTTAAACAGTGCGTCACAAAATATACAGAGATAGAAACCTGCACAAATTCGGAGGAATGAAGCATTACCTACATAACACCTCAATCCTACTGCTTTAAATTTAGGCTCAGAATTTATGGATAGTCTATGTATAAAAAGAAGAAACTAAATTAACTTTTTGATATTTCAGATGCAAATTATTTAATTTTCATTTTAATTATTTAAAAGCAAGAACATTAGTCAGCATGTTTACAAGTATCTACATTTAAAAACCTTGAAGGAAAACTTGTAAATGTTTACACGTACTAATTTACTAAGAAACTGTCCATTAGATAAGACTTAACCAAAGAACATGGTTAACCCAATATAAGCAGAAATTTCTCAAATTCGTAATAACATTAGCTTTTACAATGGCTTTACTGGTACAAAAATCCTCATATCCTAATAAAATTGTGCCCTAAGTGCTTCCAGAAAAGACTTCAAGGCAGTGAGTGAAAATGATTAATGGTAGTTTATTTTACGCAGATTTCATTAGAAAATATAGTTTCAACATGATAAAGAAACATGTGAAGCATAAAATTAATTTATTGTATTAATAACATATTATAATAATACATGTTCCTTTTAATATTTCCAATATTAAAATGTCATTTGTAATGATCTGCAGAAAAATAAACAACAAATGATTTCCTGTTACATGCTTTAATTTAATATCAATTTTTATTCAATGAAGTTTTTTTTTTCTTTTTAAACAATGAAACAACATGTCGTCATGTTATGATAGTAAAAACCATCCAAATCACATGTTATTTCTTTGTTACAGAATGACTAGAACATTGCACAATATATATATATGTCATGTTTACACAAAATAAGTCCTTAATAACAGCCACATATTGTGCATTTGAAAATGCTAGACTTGCATTTTTCTAAGTTACAACAATTTATTTTTATACATATTAAATCTTATATATAACAAATATTTTACAAGCTCTAACAAATTAAGAAATGTTAAATATAATTTTCTTCAGCCTTTAAACATGCTTCATGATCTAAATATAAAATGATCATGGCACAACTATTTATTTTCAAAATCAAGCTGCATAAATGACTTCATTCTTTGAGAAAATATTACAAATCAGAAAATCTTTAGATAACCTAAATTGAACATTTTGAGCTATTTCAGATATTTCCTCTCATATTTATTTATACATACAGTCGTGATTTACACCAAAGGAATGTCTCTGTCACGAAAAGGATGAGACTCGCTCACCTGTGACAAGTTCTTCCTATTCAATATGCATAACAAGTATTATATTAGCTCATAAAACTTGCATTTTCACTCAAATCATTCTATCCATTACAGTCAGCAATCATTTCATTCAAAATTACAAGAAACACAGATGGCAAAGAATATACACCATAATTACAGAAAGGTAATAAATAAATAAATAATTATGTTCTTAGTTACAGGATTAATTCCTGAGCAATGAACTGACACGAAGATAAACTATTGCTCCTATACACATATCAAATCATTATAAATATTTCATATATTGCCATGACAAGCCAAGCACGATGTGCTACATTAAATTATTAATTTAGACTAAAACAATCATACAGAACAGCAAATTCAAATGAAACAGTATATACATTTATAATACACACGCATATATATATAATGCATAAACATCTTATAAAGTGTAATAAATACAATATACACAAAACAAATAATACAAATCGCATAGCTGAAACGTTTTAATACATTTTTCAGCAGCAATTGAGAACAAATCAGGATGGCACAATTTTTTTTTTTCATCATTAAAGGTTAGCAAGTTTAACAGCTGAAGAATTTACTGTTGATTTTCAAATGCCATGTCATAATAAAAAAATTAAAAATTTTATATTAATTTAAAAAAAAGAATTCAAATTTGATTTTCTGGATATTATAAAATGAAATTTAAGGTGCAATTTTTATCACATGAAAAACTAAATAAGTTACTGAAATGAAAAAAAAATATGCATTTCATTTACTGTTAATGTCACAGTTCCACAAAACATGGTAGCTGCTAGAGGAAATTACAAATTTTTGTACATACTTAATATGTATTATCATTAAATAAGATTCATTAATATAAAAATTACATTTTCTATTAGTACCTAACTAATATTTGCCCCAAAATAGTGTAAAAAGTTTATATTCTTTTTAATTTTTATTTAATACAACAGCTAAAGAGAAAGGATAGCTGCATAAATAATATATAAATGGAAGCCATAAATAGTTTGTGAATTAATATATAAAAAGTAAAATGAAAATCTACACAAAATCTGATTCTGGTCTTTTTAACACTTCAGCAGCTATTCTGATGCTTATTATTTTATCTGACAAATAAGAATACGTGGAAAATAAGATTTCATTATGGTTAATTCTTTGATACTGCTGATTTAAGTTTCAGGACAAGGAACCGTTCTCTTTTAGGTCACAATAAATATATAAATTGTTGCATAATATTAGTTCTGATCAGCTATACACTACACATAAAGCACCGTATGAGAATTAGCTAATGCTTCAAACATATGCAGGAATGCAATCTAAAGCGTCTTCTGACTTTGTAAGAATTCCATGAGTTTATGTGGCTGTTGAGACAGGACGCTTTCTAGATAGTTTTGACCTGCATCAAAATACAAAACAAATTAAAATTAAATTTAAAATAAAACAGAAAAACTATTTTAATCACTAGAATTAAAGGTAGCATTCAATTTGAATTATAGAACAAAATGACTTATTTGAAAACTAATAATCATTAGATTATTAGTATTATACTTGAGTTTTTTTTGGGGGGGACGGGGGACTAATATAATGTTACCTTTTTTTTTAAACAGTGTTCAGTTTTAATTTTTACTTTAATAGCTTACAAATAAGAATAATTTATAAATGATTAAATAAAACATACAACACTTGCCGCCCAATGGTATAGTGGTTAGGGAAGCCTGACTGCGATTATGGTGAATATCATATTTATCTTGACAATGAAGATTTTAAAACTGATAATAATTCCATTTATAAGGGATGTGATGAATTTACTTTAAAAAAGAAGTCTAACCCTTCTTCTAAACTATTTTTGCATGAATAAAACTATTCTTTGCGAACAGTACATTTGTTTGTAACTTTTCCCTTATCTTTCTTTTATATGGCTATTGTGTATGACATTTGAAACAAACAGGGTATCCTTTAGTTTAAGAAGTTGACATGATAGACAAAAACTGTGGTTTTGTTGAATTCAAATGTCAAAAGTTAGTCAAAAACAAGTGACAAATCAAAGACAATGAATATGCCGTTTCCCAGTGTTATCACTCTTTTAGTATACAGCTATTACATTTTAAAATAGTTCATTTATTTCAATGAAATGGGGGAAAAAAAGTCTAAATTAAAATGTACATCTTAAGATTACATAAAATTAAAGGAATTACTAAAATTGAATTTTTTGATTGGATTTTTGAATTTAGTTCTTGTTTTGGCTTATACATTTTGTCTAACTTTATTTTTTAAGAAAATTATTTTCAACCTTTGTTTTCTCACAATTATTTTAATGATGCCTGGATCATAACAAGCATTAAAATATTAAGTAATAAAATTATTTTATTTTCCACACTGGAAGCTACCAACAAAATTGAAAAAGATACTGGATAAATGGAAGTTACTATTATATAAAATGTAAACTCAATAAATGAAATACTCAGCATTAAAATTACAATGAAATGTAGTGCATTAACAGTGTGAAGAAACAAAAATGGAATACAGGTAAACTTGTAAAAACATTCAATAATAATATAAAAAAGGAAAAATGTGCATTTACAAAATTAGAAATTATTTTAGAACTTGAAGCATCTAAAATTATTTCTAGCATTAGAAAAACAAAAATCTCTTCATAAAAAGATAACAATATTATTTAGCACAGCTTTTGGCAGGGAACCTACTTCAGGCATAACTCTATTAATAAAATAATTTTTGCATGATTTTTATAATCTTCAAAGAAGTCACAGGGGAAGTAAAATGATTCCAACAAATGCAAGCAAATGTGTTATGCTTGTATGTATACACAGCTTTAGTTTAAAAAAAAAAAAAAAAAAAAAAAAATTGATGTTGTATTGAATCATTTATTTTTACTTCCTAGTACGAAGGAAGTATTTATTGTAATCACGAAAAATTCTGGGTACCATAATTCAACGAAAATGTATATTCTGATCACTATCAAATGCAATTTAATGAAGTTTTTGTGTGACATCTGTACATAAGGGCAGAATAAAGGACTCTTTTTTCCCCAAACGAATTATAAAATTGATTTAAAATGGATTCAAAAGAGAATTTTTTGTGGCATCTGTACGTACATATGTATGTATCTTGCATAACTCAAAAATGCTGAAACACCTTAGAATGCTGTAATTTTGTATGTGAAACTGCTTTCAACGAAAATATCCATTTTGCCCCCTGGTGAATGCAATTTAATGATGTTTTTGCATAACATCTGTACATAAGGACAGAAAAGACTCTTTTTTTTTCTTTTTCGAGATTTTTTTCATTGTGTCTATACATACGTATGTACGCATGTTCTATACATACGTATGTACGCATGTATCTCGCGTAACTCAAAAACAAATAGCCTCAGAACATTGAAATTTTGTATGTGGTATCTATAACATGTGCACACCCTTTTTGGTTGCAATTGGCCGCACCAAAAGTATATAAATATGTATATATCCCCTCTGTTACTCGGCTCAGTGAGCTCAGTTTCTTTATTCCTATATGTTTGTAAATTGTGCATGTTCTGCTTTAAAAAATGAGTGAATTATGTTGTTTGCATCTTTCAGTTTAGGTTTTTATGCCTTTAGTTAACCTGCATGCTATGGTTGTAGAATTATCAACAATTTAAAAGTTGTTCAAGTGCGGCTAAGCCTAATTTCTTTACCATAGCATCCATATTTGTTTACATTTGGAGCTCAGCAAATAGTGGATTTGTTTCCAATCTAGAGAAACTAAGTTTCAAAACAACAAAGTAACATCTTCTTTTATTACTGTGAATTAAATTATGCTTAATCCATTCTGAAATTATCATTTAAGTTGTTAAATTATCTCATATATTGACTCAGCATATTGTCCACAACAAATTAAGTCAGTTTCTATGCCTTTGGTGTCTTTTTGCTGAGTGAAACCAAAAGTAAACTCTCAGTTTTGTGCACCGAAAAATCAGCCTTCTTGCCCACTGGCTGAACTGCTTGTTTGTGTAGAAACTGTAATTTTAATTGTAAAAATTGTTTCTTTAAACTGCTTTTAAGTGTTTTTGATGTTTTAGGTTCTTCTGTATTTTACAATTTTTAATATAGATTTTCTGTTTTTATGTGTTTTGCCTTGTCGCAAAAACACATAAAACCTGAAAGTGAGAACTGAATTAATTGAATGAGAAATATATCTAATGAAATTCGAGGAAATAAATTTAAATGAAATGCACGGAAAAATGTGTATAATTTAATATTCCATCCAAGGAAGTCGTGGTGTACACATCAGATATTTTTTTCGTTACAAATCATGGCCAAAATTGATTAAGGCCAAAAACAGTTGCTGAAAATTTACATTAGCATTAAAAATTTTATAAATTTACTAAAATTCTAAGGAAGAAGAAAATTTAACAAAATATGCTATGGAATGACCAGGAAATGAGAAAACTCGTAACTTGATAAAAGTAGCAATGCTATTCAAATATTTAAAAACATAAAAACAATCTTAATCAAACCCTAGAACTATACTATGAAATAAAACCATGTTTGTGGGAAGCAAACTGTAATATCACATTCAACAATATAAGAAATAAAATTGCATATTTTACCTATTCAATTTAAAAGCATAATGTCTCATAATTAATCATAAAATTTGCAAAACAGAGATTAAATTTCTTTAAAACAATAAATAAAACAAAGACAATATGGAAAGTATATAAATTTTAAAAAATGGAAATAAAAACAAAATTTAAAATATACCTTATTTGTCCAGCAAGAAGAGGGTTTATCGCATATAACCATTCATATACTTCTTTATCTCCCAGAGTCTGTAGAAGAAAACCTCTATGCTTGGTAACCACTGAGAATGTGTTTGGTACCTGTACAAAATTTTAATTTTAAAATTTGTTGTATATGATTTTTAATATTAACAAATCTCCATAGTTTAAGCCTTTTGCTTATTAATGTGCTTGTTTTATCTTACCCAGTTAAATTAAATCTGTAATATTTCATATTTCAAATATATACCTTTATCAACTTACTTGCTTTACATATAATTTTAGAACGATAAGGCCAAAACATTTTTCCCCTTTTAAGCCTATGCAAAAATTAATATTTGTGCTGCACATTGTGACACTAATAATATGTGAATCTAAACTGCATCATTTCAAAATTAACTCACATCATGCCATCTTATGTCACAAGTAGAAATACATATATCTTTTATCCAGTCAACAGATCAAATTTCAACAAAGAATGACTCTATACCTCTTACTGCTGCTGAATGCATGTTTACATTCCTGCTTCTTTTTCCTTCTCCCCAAAATGCATCTCTTACTGCTTTGCTTCATCTGTTGCCTCAGATATAAATTTCAAAAGTTTTTATGAAGATTGGGTGCATATTGTGTCCATGATAATGTGTGAAGAAGATTTTGTGTCTCAAGAATTAATTGTGTAGCAATACATAACATTTCGTCTTTGGTCATGTCTGTCTGCAGTACCATCATTATATTTAGAACATCATTTCCAATCTACTGTAGCCATCATCCAATCATCATCATATTTACATATTATATTACATATAATATATAGATGTAATGATTTGGGAATGACACACACATAGTAAATCCAGAGTGAAGAAGAAAATTGGAAGTCATATAGATGCAATAAAATGCAGTCGTAGCAGATTTAAATAATTTTTCTTTTCCTGTGGTTAATAACATTTTGTGACCACAGTTCACTAAGTATAATAACTGTGCCTACTTCAGAACAGTTATATTTTAAATATCATTGTGATAAGAAGAAAAGCACCAAGGAACATATTAGCAAAAACAGAAGTGTGCAATCATCCAATATGGCAGCTTCATTAAGAGAAGGTTTTGGATTAATTTCCGAATTAACTACGTCATCAGCATTATTAGGTCATATGTGTCGACTGATCTAGAAATGATGCAGTCTAGAAAAAGTTATTACTAATTTCAGAATCAAAAGGGGAATGCTCAAATTATAATGAGGAATTGAGAAGCTATTGCTAATTTAAATTATAATTTTTATTTACATATTTTTATCTCACATACTTACACATACATACACATATATCACATACTCACATGATACATATGTATATGTATTAAACACACACGCATTTATGTGTGATGATGTAGTTTTGGCAGTAGATGAAACCAATTCACTTTTAGTCTTAACCGAGGTAACTTTGATAGTAGTAATGGACTCGCAATGGTAGTGTAGATGTACCCTGGACATGTTTACTGTGTAGACAGAATAATAGTCCTACAGACAGACATGTCTGAATCCAATATAATTTTATTATTAATTGATAAAGTAATTCTGGAGACATAATGCTTGCTTCATACATGATTATGGGTTCAACGGGCATCCCACAATTTTGTATATACAGTTACATTTTAAAATAATAGAAGAATATGAATACGTAAAGAGACATGGATTATTCAAGACAAAGCAAATGGCAAAAAAGAGTGTGCAACTGGATTAATTACATGCAACATAGGTTAAAATTTCAGATATGATTTCAAAAATGTTATTACTATTTTTAGAACAAAAAGGGGGGATTGCCCAAATTAAAAAGAGGAATTAAGGGCTATTGCTAATTTAAAGTATAATTCAAAATTACACATTTTTAAACCTTACGTATCCACCCCCTTTCAAGCAGAAAAAGGCTTGACGATAGAAAGGAGTTTTGAGAAAAAAGCACAAGAGCAGAAGCACAAGAAGAGAAATTTTGTACAATACATGTAATTTCAACGAAGTGCTTCAAGATGTAATTTAGAAATGTTAGAACGAAACATGATATAATCTGTAAATTTTGAGAAGAAAGTATTAGTGTATTAACACTTATTGTAGAGCAATAGAATGATTAATATATAAAAACAAATATAATACAATATAACAATAGATTTTGACATTAAATGGCAAGTTCTCTACAAGTAAATCGGTGTCACTGCTTCCTGATGGATGTGGGATGGTTAAATACAATTACAGTTAAAATTCTCTGTTCTTAAGAAAAGGTAATGAGTTTTTAGTATTGTATCATACAATACTAAAAACTCATTGTACTGTATATATGGTATTGTATGACAGTATGACATTATACGATTATATGATATTTTTAGTATTGTATGATAAATTTCAGTTTAAGTTTTATGTCCATAAAAATTCTTTAAGTGATGTATTTGTAATACAAATGAATGTAAAAAAATTAAAATTTAAGTTACAACAAATAACTTGTATAATGTCTGAGAAATTTAGTAAAATGAGTTTTACATGACTCTACAATAATAATTTTTATAATAAAAAAAACTTTGATAAAAAAGAAGTCAGATTGAAAGAAAAATGTTACAGTCAGAGGAAAATTGTCATAATTAAGCTTAGAATCTTTATAATGCTATTTGTTTAAAGAAGGGCTTTTAAAATTTATTACTCAGTATAAAAATTGTGAATACATCTATTAATTACTATAAATAATTACAACAAATTTCAAAATTTTATAATACAACTAATCTTCATTCCATTTAATACACTTTGAAGTAATTTTACTGCATTTATCTGATTATTATTATTAAGATATTCCTAATTAAACTAGAAGATGACACAGCTTTCTCTAAATACTAACATATCTATCTTATCAGCAAATCGACTTGAAATAATCGATGTGTTTGTTATGCACCAAAAGCCAAGGGGAGCTAAGCAGTTACTTCTAAAAGGCCTCAGTTCCTTGCTTAAAGACAACTGGCCTTTTTGAACTGCACTAAAACATTTCATTAAAAAAATTAAATTTCATTCTTATAAAAATAATAATTCTATATGAAAAAATTAAAAGGTAGAAGTTTATAGTGACTTCCTTTTTAAAATAATTAGAAAATTCAAAATATGAATTTAAAAGTGTTTAAACAATAATGTATAAACAATAATATGAATCATGTTAATAACCTTCCCTAAATAAAATTTAAAAAATTTTTAATTTGCTAAACTAAATTAGCAAAATTCAAATTTGTATTACCATATAATTTATATTTCATTTTTCATAAAACAATGCTATACTTTTAATCCAATGTAAGAATAAAGAGCATTATGTACTCAGATTTTCAAATAGTATTACTTACCAGCATTTTTCTTTATGATGACAATATAAAATATTTTAACTACACTATTTTTACTTTATTCATAAAAGCACTTATGTTAAATTTTAGAATCCACAACACTATTTCAGTTTCATTTCATTGAAAAATTAACCTGAATCCAAGACACTAATTTTCAGTTTTGCTCTGATGAACCCTGCAATTAAGAAAGCGGACATGAAAATATATTTCTCTGACATATACACTTGAAGTAGATAAACGAAAGACCTTAGAATCACAGCAATGCTGAAATAATTTGGAACTCTGATACACCATATCTCTGAAAACACTTGTAAGGTAACACTTTGGAATTCTAAGTTAATGTTGGAAGTGAGGAACCTACGAACTGATAAGCGAATAATTGCTAGAGTTCGATGACAGGAAACAACAAGAGAGAAGGGTAAATAAGCCTTTATTATTTTGAAGATTTAACAAAACTCTGCCTGGGAGTGTACAAATAAAGTCCCCACTTGGACTTGAATTAAAAGACTAAGAATTACTAAACTAAGATTAACTAACTAAGTATAGCCAAAGCTATCAGGTTCAATGAGGAGGGCCCTTAACGTATTTTACTATGAAGCTTAGCAAGGCCTGAGTACGGCCGCGTAAAAATAGTTTAGAGAGAGAGCCCAAAGGCAGACCCTAGTTCAGAAACTCTGATTCCTCTCCGTTTCAGAAGTAACTTCGTGGTTAAATACGCTCCTTCTCATTAAATATTCAGCAAATTCCAAAACTATGTTCTGGCCGGAAGTAGTAATTGAAGTTAAGAATTTGACGGAAGGAAACGTTAACTTAAAATTTAACTGTTATAAAATTAACATAATCCTTACCCTTACCAATTCATTTCAATCTAATTTAATTAACGACTATAAATATAACTCTAATGTAAACACATGCTGGATTTTTTGATATGGTATACAAAGGAGGACAAAAAAATGCGAATACCTTGAAAAAGTAGGGGTTTCACACTGCAGTAAGCCGTGCCACCTGCAAGAAGTCTGCCACTTAGTGCGGAAGAGGTGATAGTCTCTCAACAGCTCACCTGCGTTGCACGCTTCGATCGAATGTCTGTAAAGTTGAAATGTCAGACCTGTCAGATTCCAAGAGGAATGATAGTTGGAGCGCGTTTAAGTGCAGCATCGGTTCAGAACCAGCAAACCTTGGTGGGTGTGCAAGGCGTACAGTACCAGCCTTATAAGGTACACAAAAGGGGTAGACGACATCTTCAAAGCACAACATGGCCGAAGGTCAAGCTGGCTGATAGGGATAGTGCATATAGCCCGAAACCAAGAATCATTATCTGAGATAATCTGAAATAAACATCATCTGTTTCAACAAAACTGACAAAAGGGAACTTCTGCTGCGAACATTATGGCAGAGTGGCAATTTGTAAATCCTTGGTGACAGCAACTAATGCTTTCAAGCAACGGCAATGGTGCAGAGATCACAAAGGCTGGCCCCCACAGCAGTGTCAACAAGTAATATGGTCAGATGAATCGTCATTCACCCTATTTCAGACGACGGGACACATTTATGTTTGGAGAATGCCTAAAGAAGCAGTTCATCCTGACTGCCTTTTGGCGACTGTGAAGCATGGGGGTGGCGCCATTACGGTATGAGGTTCGATATCTTGGCACGGTCTTGTGCCACTTGTTATTCTGCATGGGGGGATCACATCCAATCACTATCTAAGCATTCTAGGGGATCATGTCCATCCTTTTGTCCAGACTGTATTCCTTGGGAAGTGACCGCTTTCTCAAAATGATAACGCCCCTATTCACACTGCTATGTGTATTCAAGAATGGTTCGAAGAGCATGATAATGCAATTGGACTTCTCGCTTGGCCCCCTCAGTCTCCGGACTTGATTATTATTGAAAATATGGGCATATTTGGAGTCCAAACTTTATTCCCGATTTCCACCTCCATCCGGAATTTCAGAATTAGAGACTGCTGTGCAGGAGGAATGGCTTAATATTCCTTTAAATACTGTCCATGACCTTTATGCATCTATCCCACATCACATTCAATCTGTACTCCAGACAAAGGTTAATAACATTAGTTATCATATCAAAGCTTCAGACCTTGCCATTCACACACTCATTTGAATTTTGTAAACAAACTGCACTTTAAGACAGAGCTCATTCTGCACAGATGAACTTAACATTTAGGCAGGGATTTCCATGACAAATAATATCCTCATTAACTGAATTGTGATAATAATGTAGTTTGTTGCAGATAATTTGATATTAGATGAGTGCTTGACTAGGGAAGACACCAATTATTCTGCAGACGTGAGTGATCTGAAGTTAGAAGATAATTGAAATATTGATTATAAAGTAGAAGATGCCAGGAACTTTAGAAGAATTACAGAGTTACTTGATAATCTAAACATATCTTTATTACTTGTTGCTTACTCTGTGACTACATACAATCTCTACCCCACAATTTTGATTGTAGCGTATTATATTTTTAACAATGAATAGCAGCAGCCAAGAAATCCATCCTTCAGCTAGCAAGTATAGGCAGCCAAAGAAAAGGCATATTTAATTGCAATGGTATTTATCATAAATTTTTTGTCAATCTGATTAAGTAAAAACTATATGTAATACAGAAGGTTAAAATGACATGATGTGGAATTAGTTTTCAGATATGATGCAGTTTCGAAAAAATGACTATTTTTAGAATAGGAAGATGAAGTGCCCAAATTAAAAAGAGGAGTTAAGGTGCTATTGCTAATTTAAGCATAATTCAGAGTTACATATATACAGTTTACCAAGCCCCCCCCATTATTTATAATGAAACATGGTGAAATAAAATATGATAATAGCAAATGTCTTTATCATATTTTATTTCACCATGTTTCATTATAAATAATTTCTGATATGCTGATGAGATATATTTAAAATCTTCCTAAATATTTCCGTAAACACCAAGATTAAAACATTTGCAAGAAAGAGCAAAAGGTAGCTGTTGAATATATTATTAAAATATATGTATTATGTATATATTATATATCTAATATGTAATCTTGAAAATCTGAAGCATAAAATATAAATTTGACTTTTTTATGATTTAACTGAAAGATCTGACTTTTAGGATTGTGAAAATAATAAATTAAAAAAAAAAAGAGAGAGAGAGAGAGAGAAGAGACAGGAAAGCTGCAGATACTTTAAGGCATCTACAGCAGATAAAAATGTGAATTTCAAGAAGGAAAAATATGAAAGTTTAAAGAAATGGTTTAGCAAGCTTCACACTGTATAACAAAAATATATTCATGTTATCTGCAAATATGGTACAAAAAATATAGTACTACAAAGTTAATTTTATATTGTCTTTACTTGCCTATGAAGTAAGTGTAGGACTGTGTAATTTCTTTAGAAAGAAAAAAAAAAAAAAAAAAAGAGGGGTTTTAAACAGCATTTACACAATCTGCTTTATACTGTCATTTATTGATGTATTTCAGAGACAGAGGATATACATTCTGTAACATAAAAAATGACACATCAAGATGGAGTTATCTGAATGAGAGTCGAATACCTGAATGGAGCTATCTGAAAATCAGTAGAGGTGGTGTACATGCACTTAAAATGAAATGCTAACAATCCCAGCAACCTAATGTTTAATTCAGAAAATATAGCTACAATAATAATAATAGAAATAATAATAATTTGGCCCACCTCTGGCCCTGATGTGAGCTGTTATCCGGCTGAACACTGACTCACACATTTGGCAGATGTCCTTCTGCAAGATTGCTTGCGATACAAGAAGCAATTGGCGAGTTAATTCCTGGTGATTCAGTGACGGTTGGAGACACTTTTTCATCACAGCCCAAATGTGCTCTATTGGAGAGAGGTCTAGCGATCATGCTGGCCAAGGAAGTGTTGGAGAAGCACAATGACAAGAAGTAGAAAGGCATGCTATGCGCAGCTGTGCATTATCCTGTTGAAATGCAAGTCAAGGGGTCCACAAAAAGAAAGCACAACAAATCATCCCTTAGCCTCTGTTTTATATGCCATCTGGATGCTCCAATGCCATCACTGAAGCTCCAGCTAGTAAGTAATTGACCACTGAAAGTTAATCATAGGCATATCCTTTCCTGTGGTGTGGCCATTCACGTAACTCCTTCTTGGTATGTCACTTTTTTGTTATAGCACGTATAATAAATAAATGCTGATCACAGATATCCACCCATATAAAAATGTAATTTTATTCTTTAAAACAAATACAGTAATTTTTGACTAAAACATTTTTCAAGAAACATAAAATGCTTAAATACTTACAATTATTCTAAAATTTAATTTGTCCTTATTACTATTTAAATTTCTGTCAATATGAAAAATTTCAATATTTGGAAATATTAATTAAATAAAAATGAGATCAATATAAAAGATAGTTATTTACACTTTCCTTATATTACTATAATTGATGGATTAAAAAAATCCATTAATGAAAAGAATTCCTTGAGGATTACTTTCCCTTTATGAAAACTGCACAAAGCGAAACTCATTTCCATTGACAAAATTTAATAACAATTAAGTTCTTAAAATAATATATGTGATTTAAATCATATACAGGCAAGAGGCAGTGCCTAATTTTTTTAAAAAGATTCAAAACATCTGGAATTTTTACAACCTCTTGATACATTATTTTTGTACTATTCAGTATATAACTTCTCTACAGTTTCAACCAAGAAAAATCAAGGATGCAAGACACATAACTATTAATAGATACTTCAGCCTATCATATTGATAAGAGAAAGCAATTTTTCTTCTCTCATATTAATATATTTTGTTTTATATAAGCTACTACTTTAAATCTCAATTATTAAATAATGAAGAATCTGTATTTACCGTAATTTCGCACGTATAGTCCGCACGCAAGATTTTATATAAAAAAAATTTCAAAAATCGTCAGATAGTCCGCACCACCGGATAGTCTGCGGATTATACGTCCGAAATTACGTTTTTTTAATACGGCAATATTCCCATGCTTTTTAAACACATCCTTTGTTTGCGCCAATTTCTCACCGCTTTCTCGTCCACTTCAAAATAACTGGGTAAAATCCTAGTATACGGTGCAGCCTTGGCGCGACTTTGAAATTATCGCCAACACCAAAAATGATCCAAAGAACGTCTATATATATATACTATGCACTATATACTGTGTGTATATACATAGTATATGTACTATATATGTAGTATATACTATGTTAAACTATATATATTTTTTTAAATGACCCGTTAACTACTCATCGTATATGTCCCGTTTTACTGCTCATGATAAAGTCGCCAAAAGTAGCCAAATCCGGTGTGCACCGATACTAGGATTAAACCAATAACGGCCCACTTCTCTATTTCCATCTTTCTCAGCTTTCTCAACTACCTTGAGTTTAAACTCAGCAGTAAAACTCCGGCAATGTTTCATCAACGTTATCGAAGATGAAAGACAAAATACGAAAACAAAATACTGTGCAACGTGCTTATACTCGTGATAAGTGGTAATGAAATGTGACCTTCGACCCCACTCACTCGGTGTTGCCAAACCACGCCCTATAAGTAAACGAATCGCGCTTTTTTTTTTTTGTACTCCAGGTACTTGCTACTAAGGCTTCTAAAACGCATAAAACGCCGAGCTGACGCATCAACTACTTTCCCCCCCTCACTGGCAGTTGCACTAAAGCAGTGCGAAGGGTACTGGGATACAAGACTCTGGTTGCGCTAGTGAGTGTCATACAAGACTTTCTTTGGCTCATATCCCGACATCGCTTGATGCGTCAGCCTGGATTTTAGGAGCTCTACTTGCTACTACTCATTCGTTCTGTACTATGCTGTATGGTTTACTATCGATACAATACATACGAAAGTTTTCTTGGAATCTCGCGCTTTTTTTGATATTTGATCATCGGCATTTCACGACAGCGTGTTTTTTAAATTTCAACGATTTTAACCGTGAACAACCAGCATATTATCCGCACTGGTGGATAGTCTGCAGCTTCAAAAATTCGCATTTTAAACACAGATAGTCCGCGGACTATACGCGTGAAATTACGGTATTTATGTTCTTCACACTGTGTAAAAATGGGCATCTAAGGCCAACAAATTTTGAACCCACATAGTCTTCCACATGAATATGTGCATCTTGAAGAACACAAGAATTATTTGAACTTCTAATCTTTTTTACTACTTATTTCATATTTTGTGTGAAATTAATGATACTCTGATTAACAAATTCAATGATTTAAAAGCAATGCATAGCCACTGAGGAAAGCACAAGATATTTAAGTTTGAAATTTAATCAGAAAACTCATAGATATACAAGAAGTGAATATTAAAGAAGTGTGTTGCCACTCAGCCAAATACCATGTAGTTGTCTGTTAAATTAAATTAACAAACTCAGCAATTTAAAAGAAATGCACTGCCACTGCCCGAAATAAAACACATTCTGCTATTGGTCAGCAAACATAAGATATTCAATTTTCTTTCAAATTTATTCCATTACTTAATAACAAACTGATTTAAACAATAAAACCGGCTCATTTCAGTTATTAGTAACTCTAGCTGGCAATATTAGCTGGATTCATTAAAATCATGACATACATTTTCCTTTTTTTGTAATAACTATTTAAGGTGGTTGATGACACAAATAGTAAATAATAACGGTAAATACCATAAAAGATCAATAACATCAATTACCTTTAGCATAGCTTCCTGATCTTCACTATACTCTACTTGGGCTGTTGCTAAATTAATCATCCCTCGTTCAACCAAATCTTTTTCATTCTTGTAAATGAAAACATAAGGCCTCCGAACAACCTACAATTAAATCACAATAAAATTCACATGTAAAAACATACATTACTAACTGCTTAAAACACAAATTTTCTCTAAAAATACTACATAAATTAAAACTTATTACATTAAACTTAAATAACTGTTTAATAGTGCAAATTAGAGATATTCCACTGTACCTTGCACATGGCAATAATAAATACTTTTCACACAAAATGTTATAAATAAATAACAGATACTACAAATTAAACATTACAAACAGGCAAAATAAAGACAATGAGTTCCACCATTTTTCAAGTTTAGTGTTGCATTAATATTACTAAAAGTTTCCTAAGTTTTTGGAATGGTACCACAATAATGAATCAGTAAGTGAGGGAAAATACTTAAGTTTCAAAATACAAAATGAGTTTATAGCTATATTAAACACAAAAAGCAACACAGACTATTCACATAGATTTATTTTTCTTAACATGTTAGGCAATTTTTGATTTTCAGATGACTTATTAAATCACAGTGTGAGTAGTAAGTTTTTTTCATTTCTGAGAAAATATATTTATTCTATTTTTACAAATAAATTAAAATTTTATGAAACACTTACAACCCAGTGTTTTACCCATCCTTTGGTCTTATCATCAAGGCAATTGAGATAACCTTTTCGTGACACCACCGGGCTAACTCTTATCTCTTCCACTTCAGCAACATAGAGGAAACGACCAGAGTTACGATGGGAAGGTGGAACAGAGGAGGAGGATCTGGAAGCTATGGAAGTGGGAATTATGTGACTACGCTCATCTTCACTTGCCCCATTGCATTTATCATTGGGTAAAGTTCTAAGAAAAGAGCTAAAAACCCAAAGAAATTGAATAAACTTGCGATTCACAGTAATTTTTTATACAGTAAAAATCCATATATACTCAGTACAATAATGCTTAATAAATTAAAATATAACAAAAACAACAAATATGGTAAAAATAACTCACTCTTGAGAAGATGAAGATGCAATACTTGAATGAATACTTGAAGATCTAGATATTACATCAACATCTTCAGTTGGAGTAAGCTCATCCTGTAACATGAACAGTAAAATAACGCAAAGATGTAGTAACTTTATAATAGAATTTACTGGTGCAAACCGACAGATATAATACTGCTATATGAGCAAAAATTATTAGAATAACAAATCAAAGCAAATATAAAGAGAAAAAAGCATCATTAATTTATAAAATATTATGCACGTATTATAAAGTACAAAGATATATGAAATGAGTTTTTTACATTAATGCACTTTACAAATAATATAAAGATGAAATACACCGAAGAGCCATTACACTACGATCATCCTCCATCTATAACAATGGGCCTACCCAGGAACAAAACCACTGCGTGTGCACAGCTGATGATGGAGTATATAAAGTGATTATGCATTGTCTTTCCAAATAATAGCGTTATTAGTGACATAATGGGAAAAGCAGCTGATTTATCAGACTTTGATAAAGGTCAAATCGTTATGGCTCAGCGACTGGGATCATCAGTATCAGAAACAACGCGAGTCTAATTAACTGTTCACGCGTAGTTGTTGTGAGCATATATTGAAACGCTGCTATATTGAACATATAGCTGTGTCCATACAGCACCATCCATCCACACAGCGATATGTTTCAACCAGCTACAACAGTGGCAACCCAGACAGTGTTTACCAACACACTGTGCAGCATACATTTCTGCGTAGGCGCCTATGCAGCTTGAGGCCGAAGCATGTCCTAGCACTAACAGCACGTCATCATTAGCTGTGTCTGCAATGAGCCAAGAAACATCGGAACTGGACATTAGAAGAATAGAAGAAAGCTGCATAGTCCGATGAATCCCGCTTTCTGGTCCATCACATCAACAGGCATGTGGTAATATGCCGATTTCCAAATGAAACCCTGGATCTGGTTGGACGGATACGGTTGGATGGAGACAAGCTGGTAGTGGGGGGTATTATGGTGTGGGTAATTTTTTCATGGATCACATTTAGACCTATAATTCCCACAGAACAATCCCTGACGTCTGTGCACTGTGTGAACGTTGTTTCAGACTGGGTTCACCCATTCATGACAACAGTATTTCTGGCGGGGGATGGTGTTTACCAACAGATAATGCACCATGTAATAAGGGTCAAATTGTCAAGGAGCGGCTCGAGGAACATTCCAGTGACTTTCAAGTCATGTATTGTCCTCCAAATTCACCTGACATTAATCCAATTTGTGGTCCTATTTGGAAAACCAAATTTGTGCTGCCACGTTACCCTCTCGCAATGTTTGCAGAACCAGATACCTCAGACTACCTACATGTTATTAACAGGGTGGTCATAATGTAATGGTGCATACCTTCTAAAATGGTTTCTCATACATAAAACAGAATTCAAAGCAGAGGGTTGTAAAATTTAATTTCAACAAATCCAGCTACAATTTAAATTTACAAAAGAAAAATTGTAAAAGTTGGTCACTTTATTGCTGAGGGGAAGCAGATATAAATTAGAAAAGGTGTTTAAAAATATAAAGAGCATCTTTTGACAACAAGAAAAAAATTATGATTTAGTATAAAAATCAGAAATTTTCTTAGCGAAAAGTGCACTTAGACACAAGCAAAACAATATACAACAAATATTAAATCAGACAATATTGAATTTATTACGTTAAAAAATTGTGCACAGAGAATAATTTCCACAAACTGGTAAACAAAAAGGAAAAGCTTTATTCAATTCTGAGAGAGTTTAAAATCATAAATTATATTGACAAAAAATGGAAATAATCTGATGTTACAAACACTCTGAAAAACATAATAAAAGAAACCCAAATAAAGTTCTTATATTCATACATATTTTCTTGATAGATATATTGGCTATTAATAATTTATTTCAGAAAATCGAAAACAAATTAAACAATTGCAATAAAGTAAGAACTCTGAAAACATATTTATTATGGAAAATATTAAGTTTGGATTAATTTATTGAATGGCACCTTCTATATCAAAATTTATTACACTGCAGCTTGTATTTATTGGGCATTATAAGTTCTTAAAGTTTAGGTTACTATATATTGCACAATATATGTTGATAAAATAAAAGTAAATATTTCAGTAAAAAACTAAGTTCCTATTTCAATGTTTCTAACATTTTTTCATACATTTTAATAATTTCCTTTAAGACAAATAAAAATTAGAAATTAAAACAGCACACACAAAAATTTAAAAACAGACAGTTAATTTTTATAGTAGTACTAACATGGCAAAAGAATATCATTATTAATGACAGGATGGTGCCCAAAATGTTATGTCATTCAATCACCACATAAAATTTTATTACTATTAATTGTATATTAAAAACATTCATTTGGGTGCTGTTTATTCATGGATAATCTGGTAGAGTCAGGAGCAGTCAGTATCAGATTTCAATTTGTTGAAAGACAGCAGTTTTCAAGAAAATGGATAGTGGCTGATTGAGTGCCAAATAGAAGGTTAAAGCTTCAACGCCTTTGTCGGGAATCAAACCGCAGACCTCTGGAATATGTGCCCAGTGTGCAGACTATCACACCACAAAGGCATGCTAGGAAGGAGGACGAAATACTTTATATACTTCCCCTTTTAAAGGGCGACTGAGGTTTTTTAGTTGATCCAGTCGCCAAAGCCAGATGGTAGAAAATCATCATCTACCACTATTTTTAGTTCGGGTGACACTGTAGAGACATTAGGTATTTTTTTGGAAGCAGGAAAGATGAAAAATTAGCAATGCCCTCACCGGTATTCGAACCACGGGCCTCTGGAATACGTGCCCAGCGTGCAGACCACCACACCACAAAAGCATGCTAGGAAGGCGGAAAAATACCTTATAAGTTTTTTAAGGAAATGCAAAGTTTGGTGGCAAAACAAAGATGTTTTTATGCACATTTTGTTACAAGATGGGCTTCTTGTACACAGACTACACAGAGATATTGTCAGCAATTAGCAGCCACTGGCTTTGTGTTGGAGAAAAATCTACGGCTCCCATTAAATGTCCACATACTTAAAAATGGCAGCAGGCCTCCATTTACATGCTCATAGGTTCATGCAAGATGGAGCCCACCTAAACACGGCAAATATTATTCTTGATTTCCTGTATGAAATGTTTAATGTGTATATATCACATCGTTTTCTTGAAAGTTACAAAGGTGGAGATACTGATCCTTGCACAGTCCATGCAAGGGTCACTAGAATTAATTCATAAGATTTCTTTTATTTTGAAAGATACCGTATTTGCAAGGAAGCTTGCAAATGTAGCATAACTCAAGACTCTTATTGTGCAGTTGTGCCATACAGTTTTAAAAGATGTGTGCCAGAATGTTCTAATAAATGCAAAGATTTGCAAGAGGTTGTGAAACAAAATGGTGGACACATTGAACACACTCTACACGAAACTCATTTTCCATGCCCAAGCAGGTTAACTATGAATTCCTTCTGTAATATTTTGATGATAAATAAATATAAACAAAGGGTGTAGCATCTCATGCATCATCCTGTATATAGATGAAAATAATGTACCAAAGATTTTCTGCAAGTTATACATGCATATAAGTTTTCAAGTTTAGTTTACCTCAGTTATTTTTACTATAAAAATCAGTTAACATAAAAGAATTCATATTTCGTTATTTCTTTGAATAGTTTTCAATACTGAGTTAAAGTTTACACATCATGTAATGGTAATCTACTAAAATTTTGACCATTTCAAACAAAATATGGTAAAAGTTTTTGTGTGCAGAGCTGTGGTTATGCAGAGTTAAATGTATCCATGCAAAAGATCAAGAACTACTAATATCATAAAAACCTATGATATATCAAATTATCTTTCAAACACTTCTTATAGAACAAAACCTGAAACTTACCTTTGCATATGGTGTAGGGGATGGTTTTGATGGAATGTGACTATTAATAAGAGCAATGCATTTTGAAGCAAGTTCTCTTTCCCTTTCTGTCATTTCCCAAGGAGCATAGACTGATTCATCTACTATTAAACGGTTAGCTGTAGTTGGCGAAGTAGGAGAAAGAACCAACTGTCCAGGTGGAAAGGTACCTTCACTTGATGCTTTGGCAACAAGATTACATGCATCTTTTTCCATTTTACTGATATCTGGTGTGTGACCAAACATATGATCAATTCCTCTCTTTTCACGTAAAAGCAGCAGGTGGCGCACTTTTTCAACCTGATAAAAAAAAAAAAAAAAAGGGTGAAGATTTATAACTACTTTGAAATTTACTTCATGTATACATGACTAGACATTTTAAATTATTTTATAAATTATTTCCTATTTCTTCACAAATGATTGATTAATTGCTTGTTATAGCTTTTATTGAAACAGCTCGATATAGCTTTACTGAATTGCATAACTATTGAATTAATTGCTTAATATAGCTTTTATTGAATCTTATTAAAATGCATTAAGATAAATTAAGTATGCATTTATTATATGAGTTCAAAAGAAATAATTTTTATAGTTTTTTTTTTTTTTTTTTTTAATTTGATTTCTAAAGCTGGCATTTCATTCATGAATTGAAAAACATGAAAAGAGGCTTTATTAGGCACAATTTTAAGTTGCGATAAATAATTTATTATGCACAGAATAAATAAAAATTTTTGTTTTCATTGCAGATGGAAATGCAAATTAACAAAATACTTTTGAGTTCTAGAGTTTTAAGGATATTAATTAAAAAAATTAGTATTTCTCCCTTCATAGCGTTAAGTTAAATACAAAATTCACAAAATTCTTTTAATAATAATATTAAAAAAATTGAAAGAAACCGAAACAGACAGAAATAAATGCCACTAAATCTTAAAATATTATGCTGCTACCTAATTTGCTGTGTTGAAAAGTTCAATAAAAATACAATTTAGAAATTTAAATACAAATTTCTTCAAAATATTATTTCAGTTTATGAATATAAAATTATACTTAACAAAATCCCACACATTGTACACATTGTCAGCAAAACTTAATGCATTTTATAAGCAAGATTTCATATACCATCAATTAATGATTTGAAAATTATTAATGCCTTTAAGCCCTTAACTGCCACTGGCGCATATATATGCCTTCCTCAGCCAATGTGTTAAATACCACGAGCTTATATATATGCCGTTCTGAAATACTATGATTTGCTTTGTCCTGAAACCAATAAAATTATTCGCAATGTTTTGGAATGCAAGACCACAATGACCTTGACAGAGTACGTGAAGAAGGATACTATTTCAGACATGGAGGTAGGAAGTAAGATGGAGTCGCCCTAAACAAGTTTCTCCTGTACCCTGCTCTGAAGCACCAGCGATCCCTACGTGGTGGCCAAAACACTGGGTCATTTACCATTGAGTTCTATGGGATTTGACGCGTTCGGATGTAAATATTTTGTAATTACGTCGTAAATATACATATAATTGTATATATTTTCTTTTTCTACAACACTTCAGAGTCCTAAGTATGTGAAAACAACATATTTTTAAACAACATTTCATTCTGAACGGAATTAAATGCTATACTTTTCACAGGACAGTTTTCTCAGAATGGTTCAATTTGAATGAAATTTTCACAAGTTTTCGTTAATTACATTAGAAAAAAAAAATTAAGGTAATTCGATTTTATTCGGTTAAGGTACAAAAATTAAGATCAAAGTTTATTGTATTATTAATATTAAAATTATGCATTATTTCTTTTCTATTTATAGAGCTTCTTACTAAAATACTTTCTTAAATATGACATTTTTTGGCTTCTGAGGCATCTTTTAAATCGAAAAAAATAAAAAAAAAGTCAATTTATAATTAATGCTCTATTCGGTTCAGTATAAATTAGAGAATTATTAGGAATTAGTGAAATACTTTAAATAAGTATTTCGTTAATTTCTAATAATTAAATAGGTATTAAATAGTACTTGACTTTCTCTGAACATTTCTGAAAGGGAATAAAATAAGTTTTTTTTTTAAAGTATTATTTAAAACTTGTAACTGAGTTATTATAAAATGTAAGGGGAATAATTCTTTTAATTATAATTATCAGATTTTTTTTTTTTTACTCTTCATTTCAACAATACATATTCCAAAACTCTTTATTACATTCTTAAGTGCGCATCTCATAGCATTTGCTTTACAATACCTTTTTAACAGATTGCTTTCCAATACGAACAATTCTTGCTTAAATAGTTTTATAACGTATTTGTCAACAGGATTTCGATTTATGTTTACAATTCAATATTAAAAGTTGTTATATATTTAGATAACATTTATAATCATTATAAATTAGAAACATTTAATAATTAGATTTCTTCACAGCACTTTCACAGTTGTTTATAAATGAATAATTCATTTTAAATACATTTATAAATAATTTAATGAATATTTAAGTATTTTGTCAAAGGCAGGCTTTTTGCAAGCACATGCATAAATATCCATACATATTTCCTATTTTTCATTTCCGGCATGTGCAAATCTTTAATTTCTGTGCATTCACTATATTTTTCGTGTAAAGTAATTTACACTAATTTAGCATAAACCCAAAAGTTTTACATAAAAAATATATATGAATATAATTTGAATGAAAATTATAAGTATTATTTTTAATACCCACTCAAAGGTCAGTTTTTCTTCAAAATTCCTCCACGATGGCATCTCTCTCTTTAAGCAGATAGCCCTTGCATGCATTACTCTATTTAATAAAAACTTAATCTGACCTATGTGCCTAATTACAAATTTTATATTTATAAAACGTGTAAGCCCAAAGTTATTATTTTTCAGATCTATAAAATTAAAACAATGGGTTTAAAATGAGCAGCAGTAAAGCCTCTCTTCTAAAAAAATTTTAAAAGGTACATGTTACAATAATATATGGATGTGAAAAAAATTTGTTTTGTTTAAAAAATTTTGACGTTTGGAAAATAAAATAAAAGTAGCGAATACTCTATCAAGGGTATCGAAAGACGTATACAATTTTAAATGTACTGTAAGGTATTTTTCATTCTTTAAGCATAACATTTTTCTTAAAATGTATATTTTTGTAGTGCAACAGCTTATAATTTTATAAAACAAATTCATAATCAAAATCGCGCTGTTGTTAGTTATCGAAAAATAACCAAGATGTGATTTTTGCGTAAATGTCACTAAACTATACAAATTGCTATTATCCATCACACTATGAATGTTTCTTTCATGCGAAAGTGTCCCTTTTTCGACTTGAATGGAACTGTCGTGTGTCAAAATACTATCAGTATCTTGTCAAGCGAGCTTCTGAATGTAAACAAAGAACACCCCATCTGGTCACCCAAGCTTCAAAGCAATGCTTCACTTTTAGCGTGGGTTGGCCCCTCCTCCCTTTCCTACCTCCATGATTTCAGAGAAGGGAGGAGGAACTGGAGAGGGTTATCGGGGTCAAGGCACGGGAGGGTGACCTCTTACGTGACTATGAACTCAAGTCTTCTACTGCTTATTGTAGATCTCTCACTGCTCCTATTGGTTTCAAATTTATTTTATTTTATTTATTTTAACTTCTAGTTTACTGGAAAAATATGTTTTTTATGTCTCTGCAATTGTAATTTTGTAAATAGCAAATTTTTCATGATTTTCGCATACACGTCTCAACAGCCAATCAGAAGACCTCTACTAAGATATCTTTGACTGCTTCTGCTGGACTCCCTGCGTAATTTTACTTTGTAAATACATATTTTATTTTTGTATATAGTCTTTCTAATTGTGAGAAAAATGCACTTTGATGTGTTTATGCACTGAACATTTGTAAAAATGCACACTGTTCCTGAAACTTGGACCAGCATCTCTCCAGCCTACCTCACGTGACAAAGTAGTCACCCTCTTTCACTTTGCATCCTGTCCTCCGGACACACTCATGCATTCGCCATACCTGCAGTGTACTTATTAATTCATGACAGCCAGTATACAGCTTGCTATCTGCAAGCTACACACGGCAATAGTGGGAAAAGGAAACTGGAGAAGGGGATGTTTCTGAAATGGTGAAAGTAATGACTGAGGGATTATTTGCTCGTGTTTGTGTTTGAGTAAATCATACTTTTTTTTTTTTTAAATACTGTGTCTTCCACTTCCGTTTACTGTTTCTAGTAGGTACATTTTTTACGAATATGTCTGACAGTGATGACTAATGACTGCACGGTTATTGCTCCTGTTTCTGTTTGAGTAAATCATATTTTTGTTTTAATTCTGTGTCTTCCGTTTTCGTTTACTGTTTGTAGTGAGTGCTTTTTTTATGAATATAACAGTGAAATAGATGTTTACTTTCCATCAATTTCAGGATCGGACACCTCAGAATATGATATTATGTCAGATGAAGAGGATTGCGACTATTCTCTGAAAGATGCTTGACATTGGATAAGACTTGATATAAAAAAACTTGTCTATGGTATCCAACCAATTCAGAAGAAATATATGTTTCTTGAAATATACTGATTTTACAAGGTATAACACTGAAACCTGATATTGTACTTTACTGTTCTAAAAATAAATTGATCGAAAATCCAATTTTTGGGTTTTTAATATATAACATATTTAAAAATTTTTAACCATCAGCGATTCAAAAAATTAAAAAGCTATTTTAAAATTAAAAATTTACATGAAATCATCTTACTTTATATATAATTTGTATTAATGAGTTACATTTGACAAAGTAATGTAGTAGTTGAATTAATTATAGAAATCTAAATAATATTAAAATTAAAAATTCAATTCATTAAAAAAATTACAATGTTCAGTTTTACATAAATGACTTATGAAATTAAAATGAAATATTTAATTAATTTCATATAAATGAAAAAAATTATTTAATTTATTACCATTTAAAGCGTTTCCGATCATAAAATGTCAGCAGACACAAATTTAGTGTGTACAATAACATGAAACAATTTAAATATCAGACGAAATGTTTTCTTACATCTTCTAATCTAGTCATTTTTTCTAATTCCCACTGGTGATCAAAAATTAGAGAATCTCCACGAGGTCTCCAACCATGCAAGTTTTCTTCTCCTCTCACATAAGTAGATGAAGTATCTAAGACTCGTCTCTGGCGCCTCTGAACACCTTAAATAGGGAAAAAATCATAATATATATTATAAAAATATTTTTTAAAAATCTATCAAGCAAAATTATATGAGATGAAATCTGAAGTAAATATTAAGCTTATTTTAGATTACATGCACACCACCACCACAACAACAAAAATCTGAAAGATTTCAGATTTTATATTATGCCCCAAAGAGGAATTCTTTTCATTTATACTTACATACAGATTCTGAGAGAATTTGGGCTAAAATATTTTAAAACAATGTATCTTTAGAATTTATTCCTATCACCACCCATCTAGAAATTAATTAGTATATATATTTATGTAATATTTTTAGTACAGAGACACCAGTCGAACTTTTAACAGCTTTTGATGGTTGAGTGGAAAGATGACGCTGACAGAAAGAAATTTGAAGAAGTCACAATCTTTATTTTCACACATAATAATAACACATAATACATATAAAATCATCTTAGTAGACATTTTTCCAATCCTAGAGAAATACAATTATTTCTTTGTACACTGTTTTTTTAAAAGACATAAGGCATTTTAAGGTAAAGCAGAGTGGTGTTGGCAGAGCAGAAGTTAAGGAAAGGAAGATGACGTAGTTATGCAGAAAGTACTCATTCTGTTGACTGGTTAAGCTGTTACTGGTTAATTTTCATTACCTTTCTTAAGCAACATTATATAACACGGATAGATCTCAAATTTGTGAGAACAGATGAATTTAGAGGAAGAACATAAAATCTAGAATTGTTAATTTTGAGGTCGTCAATTATTTCTTAACGCAGCTATCGTATTTTGCTATATCTTACACATATATATATAGCATATTAGTTTAATACAATTAGGGTACATTAATTTCAGAACATAACGTGTATGTTAATATATATATAAATATTATTCCTAACACAAAACAGATATTAAAATGATATTCACTAGGTGCAATATTTTGCAAGATAACAGGAATTACAGAGCATAAAAAGGATAGACTAAGAATTCCATAAATTCCAGCATAAAAGTAGTCTTAAAATAATTGAAGCAAATTAAATCATCACTAGACTATATTGCAGCAGAGAAATCTCTTTTAATTTCCCATACACTTGAATGGTATTTTTAGAAGTCTTTTTTTTTTTTTTTTTTTTTTTTTAATTTTCACTGTGAATAAGTAAGCACATGCTTGGAAACTGTACTGATTATTATACACTCATGTGCAAAATTAGAGAATTTGCAAACTGTGTCTATTTTACAATAACTAAAGAAACAAAGGCACTAATAATACTGTCAATTAATTATCCAAATATTCAGAGTTGAATACATAATCATACATGTACATGTCTGCAGAGCTGTGGTTACGGAGAGGATATAAGTCCTAGAGGTTTTTTTTTTTTGCAATTTGTGTGCTCGTACTCCTTCATGACATCTGCACGGTTGTCACAAGAGTTGGGAAAATTTTATAAGGTATCAGGTAAAACGAGTAGGGACGAAGATATTTATGACTGACAAATGCTGAGATACCAACAGAGCTGTTGCAAAGGTAACTGGAATGCAATATCTGCAGCAGCATCCACTCGGAATATGATGGAAGTTCAATCTTTCTCTTGCAGTATGAGGAGGGGGATAGTGGGACAGGCTTGTGTTAATGGTGAAAGAAATTTTAAGATGAGTTTTGAGCCTGACCTACTTGAACTATGAAGAGCTGAATACAGTCTTATGCAGCTGTGAGCAGGTGATTAATTCATGATCTGTTCTACATATCAGAAGATAATACAGATCTATCACCACCGTGATGTTCCTGCCTGCCATCATTAGAAGACTCGGATATTAAAACTTTGGACTTCAAAGAACTGAGCTCAAGAGCTAGATTTAGACAAAGAATGGCAGCTGACCTACGGAACAGATTTCATAATGAATACACAAGGGCAATTAAAGGAACAGGTTTTAAAGAAGTACATAGTCAAATAGTTACATGTCAGCAACATCATTCTCATAGAATATATAAATAAATGACATATTCATTGGCCACTGTAGAAAATAATAGAACTTTTGCCTGGTCAAGACAAAGCTGTTTGTTTGGCTAAAGTGAAAATACAGAATGGTATTTTCTTTCGACTAATAGCCAGACTATTTTCTCTCAAGATAATAACAACCTTCTACCACCAAAGAGCACCCTTTTAGGTGCACATTCATAACCATCTGCAGTGAACACCATTCCAAAGTTGAAGAAGTTGCTGATCAGGAAAGTCAAACCCAGAACTTGCCTCTTCTTCTTCAGAGACCATATAATGGGCACTCACAGTCTTCAAACTTTTGTTCCAGGCTATTCTACTCTTGGCCTTAGTCTTCCTATTAATGACTTTTAAGTTAGACAAATCTTTCTCGAGACAGTATAGACACCTGAGTTTTAGACTCTCTCTTTTTCTAGTGTCTACTGATTTGTACACAAGTATTTTTTGGTAGTTCTATTTTCAGCATTCTGATTAGGTGACCAGCCCATGTTAATCTCTGGGTGCTGATAAAATTTATAATGTCTGGATAACAATACATCCTGTAGATTTCTGCACTGGTTCTTCTTTTCCAGATGCAATCTGTTTGAATACATCCAACAATGCTTCTTAAAATCTTTTTCTCAAAGACTGCAAGTACTTCTTTATCCTCTTCAGTCAATATCCAGCTCTATATGTCAAAACAGGTCTAATTAAACACATGCAAACTGTCGTTTAGTTGTTCTTGCAAAAAGGTTTGATTTCAGACATTTCTTTAACCAAGAAGCATCGGTTAGCAACTGTTACAAATTTCAGAAGAGATATTGTTCTCTATATTAATTATTGAGCCTAGCTATGTGAACCACTCAATTTCAAATCTATATTTAACTATTTCTAAGACAGAATGATTAAATTTTGATTTAGCATATGGCTTATATTTAGTTTTTGTTTGGCTGATGCTAAGATGGATTTTAGCTGCTTCAGCCAACAATGAGAGAAACGCTCATTTAAGTGCTTCCTAAGTTCTAGCAATGTTGTCAATATTGTCCACAAATGCAAAGACTTGAACTTATTTGTTAGAAATATTTCTCCTTGCACTTATTTTGAGTCATTAAAGACTTTTTGAAAAGCACTTATTTTTAAGTCATTAAAGACTTTTTGAAGAGCCATATTTAAAAGGAGCCAAGCCAAAGCATCATCTTGTCACCTTGTTAACCCTTTCTAAAATGAACAGGTTCTGAAAAATTATTCTGTATCTTATCTATTAACTTGGTCTGTGTTAAGGTAATGGGAACAAGTTTAACAAGCTGTTTAATTTCATGACAGAATCAATATGTTTTTTTTTTTTTTTTCCTGTTTATTGAATCATAAGCAATTTTAAAATCTATGAATAAATAATGTCAAGTTCAAATTCTCTGGTGTTTTCCATTATTTGTCTCTGAAGATTTGCTCACTAGTGGACCCATCTTTATGGAAGCCACACTAATAGTCAGTAATTATATTATTTGTATAAAGAGCTAATTTGTTGTGAAGAATATTAGAAAATAGTTCATAAAATGTGATGAGTAAACTAATACCTCGATAATTTGAGCATTTCTATGAACAAGACAGATGGTACTAAGTCTCCATTCTTTTGGTATCATTCCCTTGCTTATTATAAATTCTATTAAATGGTGTTTTCATTATAGTGTCTGGTCCTTCATTTTTAATAAATTCAGATGGTACTGAATCAGGCCTGAAGATCTGTAGTTTGAACCAGAAACAGCGCAATAATAAATTCTGATATTGATAATATCTGATCCATATCTAGAATCAATAAGTATATGTCAATCGGGTTTTGCATCTCCCTATCAGAGGATTGCCAAGTAACTTAGTGTATTTTTTTTATGGCAAAAAAATGCACTGGATATTGCCATACCATTCTGGTAGCAAAGTAGATCAATTTCTGTCCATTTTTATTTAAGGCCTCATGTAGACTATTCATTCCATTAGTTGGTAAGAATTTTTTTGCATTCAAGTTACCCATTATAATCTTAATGTCATGCTTGGGAAAAATTCTATAAATTGTCCACTGCTCCTCATAGAATTGTTCTTTTTCTTCTGCATCCTTATTCTCTGTGACAGCATGTACAATTATTTATCAAGTTGTAGTAAAAGAATCTGCTTCTCATTAGAAGCTTATAAATTCAGGAAGATCTTGCCACAAAGTCAATTCTCAGATGTCTGATTCTCTTGCTTACAAAAATCCCATTCCTAAAATATATTTCCTTTTTTCACAGCTCTAATGCTCTGAATGATTCTTTCAATTATATCCTCATCAAGCCATGTTCTCTCCTGTACGCAAATATGTTCAGATAGTATTTATAAAACTGCTCAATCAATAATTATAGTCCTTTACTAAAGTGTGAACATTCCATGTACCAACTTGCATAGTCTATAAAATCCTTTTCAGGTTGTTTCCTGTAAGACAGCCAAAAATTTTCTTCTTTACAAGTAGCAAAAATATATTTTTTTTACATGAAGAGGTCATCAGCCTCTTGCCTAACCCCAAAACTGGAGGATTAGGTTTCCAGTAATCTCTGGAGGGGAATTCAGTTATATGCCTAGACACTGAATAGCTTAAGTACCCTCGGAATGCCATTTCCCATACCCCTTACAAGTGAAAGGCATTTGAGGGGAGAACTTGCAACCATTGTGAGCATAGTTGGAAGAATTATCAAGCTCCTTCAGCTGTTTCAGATCTAAAGATTGAACTCCTCAAGATTTTTGAACCTGACTGATGGGAGGATGTGACAGCATGACAGCAGTTAGTGACTTTACCCTCAGTGCCATCTAACAAGTTATAATCAGTGCTGCTAGAACTGTGAATAAGTAAGCACACGCCTGGAAGCTGCAATGGCTATAATAGATGTGATTAAACTATAAGCCCTGCAAAATACTGAAAATTTGTGCATTAAAATAGAATTTACTTAATGAGTCATTATTTCAAAATGACATGCCCATCAATTTTGGTTTGGAATACTTAGTAGTGCTTTTAGAATGATAACAATCATTCTAAAAGCACAAGTCACTTAAATCTTGAGTAAATTTGGACAAAGTGATAAAAAAAAAAAAAAAAAAAAAAAAAAAAAAAAAAAAAAAAAAAAAAAAAGGGCGGCTAAAAGTGCTTTTCTTTTTTTTTTTTTTTAAGAACACTTTAAGAATTGTTTCTTCATACTACGATAATGCCACTCTACTATAACCACAATGCGTTTTACCCAATGCAACTAAAGCATACACTTTGCAGCTCAGAGTTTGCATTGCATGCATAACGGCCTAACTTTAGCAAAGCAGTCTAAATACTTGTAATATGGAGATACTCAGTATTTTTATGTCTAGAAAAAATATTCACAATTTTTAAGTTGATTAGACAGAGATTAAGATTCGGGACAGACAGAGTAACCATACCATTCAATAATAATTTACTATACAGTGGACTCTCGATTATCACGGTGCGGATTATCTGGTTTGCGTGCACAGCTGTGCCATGCAAATTTGAGAATGGAGAAAAGATTTTTTTGTAATGTAGAAATTGGAGACTTATCTAATTGTGAAGAAGTTGAGGTTATTGCCATAGCATAAATATATATATATATATATGTTGTATGATCTTAAATTCATTTAGTATGAAATCGAGTTATTCTACTACTTGCGCAATTGCTGCAAAGTAAGTTCATAATAATTTATTTACTGAAGAAATATTGATTATATTATCTCCCAAGATTAATTTTAGTAGAATTATCTTAAAAGAGTTAATCCATAGTTACTAAGTTCAATTGTGAAAATTGTTTTAAAGTAACTTGAATGTAAATTGTTAAAAATGTTTAACGGGGACTTGAATTATATCATGAATAACAAAATTTCAATTGTAAAAAGAAATAAATTAAAAGCAAGTAATCATTGCCATTGATCGGAAACTAGTTGACTTTTCAAGGGGAACAAACCAACTCCCATTCAATGAACAATAATTAAGTGTTTTGTCCTTTACTCAAGTAACAAGGCGATGCCAAACCGGCAATTCAAGTTAGGCCAAATATTTCCGTGAATTGAAGGGATCAAAAACCAATCCAGAGCACCAAAGAACTCATTCTGATTAAGCATTTTCGCTAATTCAATTTTGAGTGAAAAGCAATTTCTGCTGTAAAATTGATAAATTACTCAAGTAATTGTCCCCCGACACCCTCGTGTTTATGCATTTTAATTCAAAACTATTTGTAGAAATTAAACATTTGAAATTGGCATTATGCAAAAGAACTCAAAGTAATTGAAATAAACATTATAAAATTACAAAATATAAGAAATATAATGCAATCTTTGCAAAAACAAATACAAAAATAAAAATAAAAATTGAAATTTAAAATTTATAATAAGAAAAGGGAATGTACATGAAGATATAAAAGGCCGGAAAAAGCATTAATTAACTTACGTTCTTTCTAGTGGGAAGTGAGCAAAGTGTTGTCTTTACATCTTACTCAGAAGGGTTGTGTTTCCGAAATTCTTTAACGGCAGCGGGAGATTTTAATTATATTAGTCAGTGAGACTTGTGTGAAGTAATTTATGGGAGAGGGAGTGACTAGGAATGCTTGAGGAACGTATGCTTAATGCTTTTTCTGGCCTTTTATATCTTCATGTACATTCCCTTTTCTTATTATATATTTTAAATTTAAATTTTTATTTTTTGATTTGTTTTTGCAAAGATTGCATTATATTTCTTATATTTCGTAATTTTATAATGTTTATTTCAATTACTTTGAGTTCTTTTTCATAATGCCAATTTCCAATGTTTAATTTTTACAAATAGTTTTGAATTAAAATGCATAAACACGAGGGCGTTGTGGGACATTACTCGAGTAATTTATCAATTTTACTGCAGAAATTGCTTTTCACTCAAAACTGAATTAGCGAAAATGCTTAATCAGAATGAGTTCTTTGGTACTCTGGATTGGTTCTTGATCCCTTCAATTCACGGAAATATTTGGCCTAGCTTGAATTGCCGGTTTGGCATCGCCTTGTTACTTGAGTAAAGGACGAAACACCTTTGTATTTATTTCTTAATTATTGTTCATTGAATGGGAGTTGGTTTGTTCCCCTTGAAAAGTCAACTAATTTCCGATCAATGGCAATAATTACTTGCTTTTAATTGCTTTTAATTTATTTCTTTTTACAATTGAAATTTTGTTATTCATGATTTAATTCAAGTTCCCGTTAAGCATTTTTAACAATTTAGATTCAAGTTACTTTAAAACAATTTTCGGAGTTGAACTTACTAACTATGGATTCACTCTTTTAAGATAATTCTACTAAAATTAGTCTTAGGAGATAATACAATCAATATTTCTTTAGTAAATAAATTATATATATATTCATTTATTTCATTTTTAAAAAAGATTTTGGCATGCAACTTCAATTGCAAAAAATTGACAAACGGCTCAATAGCTGCTTGACTGAATCGGATTTTCAGTACTTCAGTGATGTGAATATTCTTTCAAATGTCACATGAACAGAAGAGGCAGAAAGTGATACTAAAAGTTCAAGCAAAGAAGATCCTGACAATTCATTACATAAGTTCCAAGACAGCAATGACTTTTGTTGAAACACTATTGAACTTCCTCTACAAAAGGGGTTTCTAAAATAATAGTATTTTGAAAAATATGCAGTGAAATCCGACAGATATTTTAACATTCTCAAAAAAGAAAAAAGTAATTACTGATCTTTTTAAAGAAATAAATGCATATTATACGCATGAAAATTGTTAACTTAGATTATCTGTTTTTTTTTTCAGTTACCAGTGACCTGCTTCCCCGGCATTAGCCCAGATAATAGATAGTATACTGTATCTAGAAACCTGTTCATTATTTGGGTTAAATACAAATCAATACTATTTGACATCATTAACCAATTTAAAGTGAAATCGATAAAGTTTTATCATTCTGCTCAAGCCTTTTTGATTTTGATATTATGCCCCTTTAAATAAAAATGATGATGATAAGACTACTTACCAGGGCTTCCAGAATCAGCTGCTCGTTTCATAAGCACTTCATATACACCACTGACATGATTACCCTCAGAATTTTTATAAGCGCCAGAGAATAAATGTTTTAGTGAACGAGCATTAGGAGATATCCTGTCGAAAAAGGGGGAACAATATACAATGCATAACATAGATACATACAAACTAAACAATAAATAAGCAGAATAAAACTGGAACATTTAAGTCAAGAAACAATATTTATATTAAATAAATACTCATTATAAAGAAGCAAAATGCAAAATAAAATTCATAATACAATCAGAGATAATTTTATAAATAACTTGCAAATAACTTTAAAAAAAAAAAAAAAAAAAAAAAAAAAAAAAAAAAAAAAAAAAAAAGCACTACATTTTTAAGTATAGTGGAACCTTGAGATACGATCACTTCAATATACGAGAAATTCAAGATAGGAGGAAAGTATGAGTGAAAAATTGGTCTCTAAATATGAGCACTGACTCGAGTTATGAGCAATGAGCCAGCCTGTTGGTATATGTGGCACCATTTCCCGGTCCGGCTTGACTCGGGGAATTCCCTCATCAGATCTATCAGAGTTCTTTGATTTACATGTTTGTTTGCTTGTGAGTCAACTGTTTATTACATTTTATGTGAAAATAATTGTTTCACAATGGCTCCCAAGAAGATTGTTGCCTCAGAGAGTGCTGGAAAGAAAAATAAAGGAGCCACGGCCATTGAAGTTAAGAAAGAAATCATACATAAACATAAGCATGGTGTAAGAGTGACAGAATTGGCAAAGAATTATGGCATTTCGACATCGACAATCTGCACTATTCTGAAGAAGCAGGAAGAAATTTGAAAAGAGGTTACAGTTATTTCCAAGCACTGTCCAAAATTCCTAGATGTTGAGAAGCTGTTGGTGGTCTGGATTAACGAGAAGCAATTAAAAGGTTGGTGTTGAAGTAATCATTTGTCAGAAGCTATCATAAATGTCAATTACAGTTATATCATTTAACAGTGCTATTTACTAGAAAAATTGATTTTTATGTTGAGGAACACAACTGTACTATTGGTAATGGGATTTATAAGATCTTTGACAACTTTTAATCTATTACACACATTTCATACAAATCTTCGCTTTTTCTTTTGTAATACATTTCATTTCCCAATAAAACTTACAAACCACACACATATTTTTGAAAAACTAATTTTTTTTTTAATTACTAATCTCAATCATATATTTATTTTTGGTTTCTTTAGTCTATATATTCAAAGCAAACTAAAGCTATAATCTGTACTGTTCTTACATAACAAACATATTTAAAAATATGCATGAGTGTAATACATAATAATGTATTTTAAAAAGATCCACTGTATTACTGAATTAGACTATCAAGATAATCAAAGAACTCAGTATTAAAACATGAAGATCAAAGCTTTGAAATTTTTCGTCATGTTACAGTAAAAAGTAATCATTTGAGAATACATCTACAATACAGATATAAAAAAGGAACAACTAATCTTAGTAATCGATTTTAATGTACATTTTTACAGAATAGTTAAAAACCTTGTGAAAGTACAATTCAAGATTCCTGTGCATTATAAAATTAGAACACAAAATCAAATCCTTTGAAAATGACTCTCAGTTTTGTAAGTTATTTTACTAGACGTTATAACAGCTGAGCATAATTCTATTTATAAACAATGCAGCAAGTAAGATTCACTTACATAACTGTGGTGTATTGAGAACTTAACACATTGTTGTTGGGCGCTTCGCATCCGTGCATTATGACGGGAGCGGGCGATTTTTTTAAAAATCCTCACGAATTGTGTCGTTACGTAAACTCATTATATACTGAAAATTACTTTGAATTTTTTAATGAAACTGATTTCCTCAACTTAAAATGTATTTTTCATCGTTTTTATGAAAGACAGGAACTTTTTTTATAAATGAATATAGAATATACAGTTGAAAGTAAAAAAAAAAAAAAAAAAAGGAAAAATTTATAAATTTTCATTAATATTATTTATTACCAAAATATAAATAAACAAATAATTTTTAATGAAGTAAATAATGAACCACTAAAAATGTTTTGTAGTGTGAAAGTGCTCAAAACATTTACCTCCATAAAGAGGTACGCCACAAAATTTACACATAAAACAAGTTTCCCTTTGCACTTTTTGAGATGCATACACTCAACATTGTCTTCGCACAAATTTTTTCTTTCTAATTCCAACAACTTTTCCTAGAATGTGGTTTTTCAAATCCATCAACAATCTTCCTGGTAGATCTCGTTTAGGCGCCCTTTTCCAGAAAGTGGATAGTCTTGGCTCGATTGTTATCTTCGGTTTGTACCGAATCAACACAAAGTTACTTCATATAAAAAAATTTTATATTTTACTTCGTTGCTTTTGTTGAATTATAGACAACAAAGGAATTGAACAATGCACAATTTATCATGTACACTGTTACTTATTTTGTCCATTTCGTCGTCTTTCGTAGTATTGAATAATAAGACTGATCTGCACGGTCGACACCTTTCATAAAGTTGTTAAAATCAATCAATGCATTTGGTTTAGTTATTTTTTGGTGTGTTATTCTGTCAGTATTGTGACTATCTTTAATTTCCGCCGAATATATAGATGAAATAAGGTTCACTTCTTTCTTCGATTGCCAGATTTGAAGTAAAATATCCCCTTTACGGCAAAAGATTGTCTGTTTTTTTCTGAGATTTGCTTTTTTAGACACTCCAGTAAACTTCTATTTTTTCTGATGGTTCCACATACCCTATTTTTTTTCGCAAAAGGGCTTAAGTGTTATCAGCACTATTATAATAATTATTCATATACAGATGGTGCCAGACATCTGTATATGGAGATTGTCTCTATCAGCCGTTGTAATGCCAAGACTTCCATATTTGCCAAAATCTATCTCTAGACATTGTTTCTGCAAAGAATGGCATTTCTGTGCAAGGATCTGTGGTACTGTACTCATCTCTTCTATCTTTTTGAACTTGCCCCATGAAAATAATTAGTCCCGAAAATTTCTTCATTTCCGATATTGCGATATCCTTTCATTTCATACTTTTTTGACTTATTTTGAAATTATTCATATTTTGGTAATAATACCTATTTGATTCTTCTACAAAATATGTGAACAAGTCATCTCTAATAAACAAGTTCAATGCATCAGTTATCGATTCAGGAACAGTATCAACATTTATCCCAGGGTGACCTAAAAACTTCTCTAAGATCGGTGGATTATCAGTCGATCTTTATTCTTTTTCATGTTCGTCAGAACTTGATTCAGACTCAGATGGAATAGTTCGACGGATAAATCTTTGAGGTTGTGGAATAACTTCTTCATCCTCACTCTCCTTCTCATTCTGCGTATCAATAAATCACAAATACACTGACTACCAATAAGTATTTGGACACCTGTGATAGAAAAGAAAAACCAACTTTATTCAAAATCAATAGTTGGTAGAGCCTCTACGAGAGGTAATTACAGCGTGGACCCTCTGGGGCATACTTTCCACAAGTCTTTGTATGACAGCTAGTGGTATTTTCTTCCACTCGGCTTGGAGAAGACATAGAAGTTCCTTCAACGATTTTGCACGGGTAGAGCACCCCTGAATTCGGCGATGCAACTCGTCCCAGAGGTTCTCGATAGGGTTCAGGTCTGGACTCAGGGCAGGCCAGTCCATTCGATGAACTCCATTGGCATTCGACGTTAACCAAGGCACCAAGCCTTGGTTAACGTCGAAACATGACAACTGGCATTGCCGTCCTGAAAGTAACAGGGGTCCAACCCATAAAACTGCCACAACGTAGGAAGCACATTATCATCCAAAATAGTGCAGTAGGCATCGGAGTTGAGCTTACCAAGAATGGGGACCAAGGGTCCCAGCCCATACCAGGAGAAACACCCCTAGACCATAATTCCACCTTTGCCAAACTTGACTGTTGGCACAATGCATTCTGGCAGGAGACGTTCTCCAGGTAGACGCCAGACCCAGACCCTGCCATTCGAACGATAAAGGGTCAACCTTGATTCGTCACACCAAAGAACCCATTTCCACTGATCTATGGTCCAATTTCGATGTGCTTTGCACCATATTAACCGAGCAGCACGGTTGGACTTTGTGTGAAAGGCTTATGGGCCAGCAGCACGACTTCTCGGTTTCTATCTCCCAGTTTCGCTGGTCTGCCGACTCGGGGCACATTCTGACAATCACCGCTCACCTTCCACTTCTTAATCACATAGGCCACTGTCGATTTGGGGTACTTCAGATCGCTAGATATGTCCCTTAAGGATCGGCCACATTTGTGATACCCAATAATTATACCTTTCTCAAAATCAGAGAGCTCCAAACTGCGAGGCATCTTGCATGCGACTAAAGCCGATGCTGTTTCCTACACGATATATACCGGCGGAGTCTGTGACGTACCTTAGGACCGCAGATATTGTCATTGCATAGGTGTCCAAATATTTATTGGTAGTCAGTGTAATCTGGCAAATTGCTCGCACAAATTTCCTGGTCACTTTCGTCATCACTGTATCTCATTTTATCAGTATTTAGAGTATTTATATATACCAAATAACTATACCACTTCCACAGGAAAAACAATTATTGAAAGAGTTTGATAACAAATTCGACTCAAGATAATTATAAAAAATACAAAATATCACTAAAAAACTTGCGATTTTTGAAAATAATATAGGTTTGCAATGCAATAATGGTTTGCAATTCTTCCTAAGGAGACGTCTAAACACCAATAACCACCTAAATTCACTAAAAATAAAACGACTCAAAATTCGTAAATTTGCAGGTATAATGTGTTGTGATGAGCTCATTTATCACTTTTATTTCTGAACATACCATTCCATACCTAATCTATTGTGGGAATGTTTACACCTGCATAGTACTATGTATAAATAAGCGGCATAACAAACATACACACATGTAGTAACTCGTATTAGCTACGTTTCCCGCATTCTACTACCAGTTCATAAAAAACGTATTACTACGTGATCCACCCTCTATGCACAGTTGCCAAAAAACTTAATTTTATGTGTCCCGACTACAATGTGTTAATTGTAATCGAACTTAAAGTTGGCGCAGCGCAAGCATTGCAAGCGTGCAAAGTTATTGTATATCGGAACTGAGACTGAATGCCATAGTTGTAGTTGTATGTGTGTATGCAAGTGATGATGTGTTTTGTGTATAATAAAGTAGCACATAATTAAATACAGTGTTTTGCGAAATAATTATCTACTAAAGACATAATAGTAACAATGACAACTGTTCCTACTTTTATAAAGGCGATTTTTTCTTCATTGTGATTTTGAGTCACTTTTAGTATTATTTACCATTTTAATGAAAATATGCTGAACTACAGGTAATGGATGGGGCTCAAAATTCTTTTCAAATCTATTTCATTATGAATATCATGTTTATTCTTTTTAAAACTTCTAGTAATATTTCCATACTAACACTTGTACATTTTTTTATAAATGTTAGTTAATTTGTGATGAATTTTGGCTGCAAATGTACCTTCAATGAAAAGAAATCTAATTAGCAGACAAAGCTCACATTTACCAGTAGCACTCATTCAATTAGAAAATTTCATACGCTTGCTATTAAAAACAAAACCGCTAAGGCAATGGCAAAATATAGCATGCAACCAATTCTTGAATATATTAAAATTTTCCCTCATTTCCATTTTTTAAAGCCCTCCAAAAGTTCATTAAAATTTGCTTTCATAAATCCACTCTAATAGTTAACTAGCTATTACATATTTCAAATTTCATTTAACAAAATCTGTTAACCTTTCTTAAACAGAAACTGAGAATAATTAAAACAGAAATTGATAATAAATAAAACATGTTAACATGTAATCAAAACATGAATATGTTTTACATATGTACTAATCAGATACAAAGCTTTTTCATACATAATTTTTAAGAAAATCAAAGATTTCATGATGCATATAAGCAGATAAAATAAGAAAACAAACATAATCACCTAGGTGTAGTTCGTGCATCTCTGCCACATATGATCAGACACAAATCTTTGGTTATTATTGCTGGATGAGCACAATTTTCAAGCTAAATAGAAATCCTCAAATTTGTATTTGAATAAAAATATAATACATATGATTTCAAGTTTGAAATATATAATTACTAACTGTATTAATAATAATTAGTACCTCAAGATATGCAGAAAGTGTCATGTATATTCTTTCTCCAGTAGGGGTTGAACGATTCATCAATGCTGAATTATGTAATGAACTATCCCAAGCAGCTTCAAATCGATAAAATGTTCTAAAAATATGAAAATGAATATATATTACAAATTAAAATAGAAAATACTGTTTTTTAAGCATAAAATGCCTTCAAGTCACGTCTTTAAGTTTTTATAATATAATATACGTATATAGATAGACATTCAGCATGTAACACATTAAAAAAGCAAGTAATTGAAAGCATCCCGAGGAAAATCTGAATAAATACAAAACTGACAGCATTCACTGACAGCAATATTTAGAAAATAAAAGATCACCATAGTGATCATTGTTTAGTAGCTAAGGAACCAGAACAGCTATTTCTATATTTTAATTTATCATCACTGCATCTAAACACAGTAGAATGACTGACTGCAAATTTCAACCACTATGTTTCTACACTAACTTGATGATAACAAGCTTCAGTAAAATTGATTCGTGATTTCTGTAACTAAAATCTGTTGAAAACAAACTATAATCCTGCTGGACTTTTCTACTTTGGTGTGCTTATCATTCACAGATTTTTATGCAGTTAATATTAAACATTATTCCAAATCATAAGATGTTGGTGGGAATTTACCATTCTATCATCAAATTACAATATTTTTACATTTAATAGAATATAAAAAGCTACCTAAGAGTTTGTTTACATTTATAAAATAAAATTTTAGGAATTTATTACACTAGAATGTAAGACTGTTGCGAAGAACAGTCTTACATTCTAGTGTAGTAGTGTAAAAGTAAAATTTCAATGTAGTAGACAAAGGATATTCTCTTTAAAAACAAAATACATAATATTTCAGATCACACTGCATTCTTGGAGACATTCATGATCTCAGCCATGCTAAATAAAAATTCTATAAAGAAATGCAATGTAAGATTGAATTTGTTAAAATCTTTATTACTTTTTTTAACTTGCTAACAACATTGCATAATTTTAATGCTGGTGTACTGATACAATATTATCAAAATCTCATCTTACATTGATGGCAATATATATGTCCAAAACATAGTTAAGACATATTTTTGCATATGAATGACCACTCGAACTGTAATCTGATGCTCTGCAGGATATGTTAAATTATTTTTTTCTCAAGCAGAGACAAAATATTTTCACAAACCTGTCATCACCAGACTTTTCATAGTAATCACCAGGAAATATTCCTAAGGACAAGACTGAAGTATCCAAATCATCGTCATCACATTCAGGGGTAGTTCTGATACGACCTTAAAAAAAGTAAAAAGATAACTAAGTAATATTCTACTTAAGCTATTTTCCACAAGCATAATACATTTAAACAAATAAATTAAACACTTATCTATCCACTATTCATTGCATATTTTACAAACAAACAAAAAAAAAAAAAAAAAAAAAAAAAAAAAAAAAAACATAATTATATATATGTACGATACAATAAAATACGATAGCTGCTTTAAGAAATATATTGGTGACCTCAAAATTAACATTCTAGATTTGGTGCTCTCTCCCTAAATTCATTCGAGATTGGATTCGAGATCTTTCTATGTTACGTAATGTTTTAATGCAGATACCTCTTGTCCAATCAAATTAATTGTAAACCAAACTTTCTCTAACTCAAACTGAAACTATTGATTCCCTCCCTTCTTCCTTTCTGTTGCAGCATTCTCTTTTGCTTATGCTTCCCTGCCGGAAGACACTGCTTTTCCATGCTGCTGCTTATTTGTCTAAGATAATGTTGTTTAAAATGGTTTTTAAAATGGAACTTATTGTATTCAACTATATTTAAGAAATATCTTGTCTGCAAAAGAATGATTTGACATGCATGAAAAATAAAGGTTGTGATTCTTCAAGCTCAGTTGTACTAAATGCATCATCATGCTTTCCCACTCAGCCCTACCTTCAGCCACTATAGTCTTCTCAGCCATCTAAGCAATATCAAAAGTTGTTAAAAGTTCCAGTGCCTTCATCTACGCATTTTAAAATCATGACATATATATATGTATATAAAACCAATACAACTAAAAACGAAATTGAATATCTTGATTTACACATTCTTGTTTATCACAAAACTAAGCTTTTTGATAAAAAAAAAAAAAAAAAAAAAAAGACAATTTAAATTTACCACTAACAGATTAATTACCTGAGAATCCAACATTTCTAAACATGTAGATTGTAGAAAATTGTACTAGTAGTATAATTTATAATCAATTAATTAGAATTAAAAACATTTCTACAGAAGTTTCTTACTTACAAGAGGAAATCACTTTACTTACTGATATTTTAATATGTTGTCCAGAGGCCAATATTTAGAGTAAAGAAGCCATCGTAGGACAACACACTTTATTTACATGAATAATGAATAAAAAGATCACACAGGAAATCATATTGATGATCACATAGCCAAATAAAATCTCACCATCTCCATACGCTCGAATGACGGATGTGTCGGAAGAATAGACAGCTGCGCCGTCATAATTAATAAGCATGCGCATAACAAAAAAAAAAAAAAAAATTTGCTCACCTTTACCCAACACATCCCTCCTGCGAGCAACATTTTTTCAATACAAAAATGAAATACAAACAATATATAACACATTACATTAAGAAATTAAGGAAATTATTTTCAATGTGTATATTAATTTTTCTTCACTGACACTCTTAGTAAGAAAATCTGCAATCATATTATCAGTTTGTGAATATTCCAACTTAATGACATTGTCCTTTGTTAAGTCCTTCATAAAATGGAAACGTAAGTTCATGTAATTAAGACACAATAACACGCCGAATAAATACTAATTCAGAAGTCAAACAACAAAAATCAGCGTAATATTTGCAAAATTTTCACAGTTGACTAGTTTCGATGGTTTTACCGAACCACCATCTTCAGCTGCAAACCGCAAATGAACAAGATAGGAAATAATGATTAGATAAGATAAGAAAGCCTGGACAAGAATAAGCAAGTGGCGCCATCTGTTGGCGAAACCAGAACTAAAACATAATTTCTCTAAAAGCCGAAGGCAAATTTGGATTGGAATTAGGATCGTTAACTAGAACAGAAAGATTTTTATGAATGTGAAACGCCTCTAGAAAATCCAGTTCTCCAATGGAAGATGTTTTTTGAATAATTTTAGCAGCAGAAAAATTGAAAGTGTGATTTTCGGACCAACAATGTTGAGCAACAGAAGACTTCTGTGTTTCCTTTTTTCTAACATATGCCTCATGTTCCTTGATGCGAAATTTTAAGGCTCTCTTAGTTTGGCCAATGTACTTTAAACCACACTGGCAAGGAATCCTATAAATACCCCAGGAATTCATATCCGGAATGGGGTCTTTGAGTATAGAAGTCCGAATTTTATTGATGGGAGAATAAACAACCCGAAAGTTAAATTTCTGCAAAATATGTGCAACTTTATAGCTAATTGATGGAAAGAAGGGAATGACAACAGAATTTTTATAATCTCCTAAAATAAGAGTGTGTGTTGAGATGAGAATTTTTTAACTGCTTGATTAATAATGTTGGGTGAAAGCCCCTGTCAATAGCTATTGCTTTTAAATAATTTAGTTCTTCATCAAGGGCTAGTTTGGAGGAGCAAACTTGAAGAGCACGGAAAACATAGGAATAAAATGAAGCTAACTTTTGTTTAGTCGGATGACATGATTTAAAGTGTGGTGGAAGGCAAACAGATGAAGGTTTACGGTAAACTGTAGTACTGAAATTGGATGTGTTACGTGTGACCAGAATGTCGAGAAACGGAAGAGAATTGCAAGTCTCAAGTTCAAAAGTGAACTGAATAGCAGGATCGATAGAATTCATTGTTGAAAGAACTTTATTTAAATCATCTTTATTACCTTCAAACAGGGTCTGTGAAAATTTTGCAAATATTACGCTGATTTTTTGTTGTTTGACTTCTGAATTAGTAAGTTCATGTGTCTGGATTTCGTAGAAGATCTGGACCATTCAAAAATTGTTTACATTTTAATTCTGATAATAAATTTACAGTCCAAATAATATCCTTACAAATTTCAGAAATAGAAAATAATTCTGCTTCACAAGTAGACAGATTAACACTTCTCTGTTTACGACATTTCCAAGAAATCAATGAATCACCTACTAAAATAGTACCACCAGAAATGACTTACAATTTTCTGCATTTCCCCAGCTAGCATCAGCATATGCATTTAAAACTTCGAAATCATTGCTAAATCATTGTACCTTTTAAATACCTTAATACCCTTTTAGCCAAAAGATAATGCCTTTTTTCTGGTACATGATTAAATTGTGACAAATAAGTTGTTACAAATGATATATCAGGACGCATTTTATTTGCTAAATATAAAAGTTGCCCAATTAATTCCTGATACAAAATTGCATCAATTTTTTCATTTGTACATGAAAAACCTTTATCTGCCCCTTTAACGATTGGCATTTTTACTGCTTTACAATTTTCCAGATTGTGTTTAGTCAATAAAGATTCAATATGTTCTGTTTGAGACAAACATATACCATTTTCCAGTTTTTCTATTTGCCTTCCCAAAAATTTTGAATTAGTATTTTCATGTAACTCAAATACATTTTTAATTTTAGAAACAATATTTTCAAGCATTTCTTTATTGTTACAGAATACAGCTAAATCATCAACATACAAACACAATATAAAAATGTTTTTGATATCATTATAAATGAATATACAATTATCAGATGCTAATTATCAGAACTCAGTCCAAGTTCTTCTAATTCAGTTTTTATTTTCATATACCAATTTCTACTCGATTGAGGCAACCCATAAATACTTTTCTTCAATTTACATACTTTTCCTTCTCCAATCAGTTTTTCATAACCAGGTGGAGGAGTCATATACACATCCTCGTTAAAGTCACTGTACAAGTATGCTGTTTTTACATCATAAAATTTAACAGTGAAGTTTAATTTAGCTGAAAGTGCAAGCAATAATCTAAAACATTCAATGTTAACTACTAGTGAATATGATTCGGTATAATTCTTATTTTTTATTTGATTAAACCAAGCCGCTACTAATCGCGGTTTATATTTTACTTCCCCAGAGTCTCCTCCCTTCAAAGTATACACCCACTTACTTTTTACTAATTTTGTTTTTCCAGGCTTCTCTACTATTTCCCACACTTCGTGTTTATGTAATGAATCTAATTCATTTTCCATTGCGGATTTCCAGTCATACCAATTAGCACTTTGTTTTGCTTCCGAAAAATCATTCGGAACATTAGATTATACTTGATGCTAGTTGTTTTGATTTGAGCCTCTCAGATGGTCTTAATGGTATTGCATTTCCATATTTATTACTTTTTTCATAGCTATTAGATGTTTGGACTTTATTCCCTCTGTCATCAAACCCGCTACAATGGCTCATGTCCGAGATTTCGAAATTCGATGAGTCATCATATTCGCTTGTTTGAGTAATTTCCGTAACAACCAATTCAAGGTGTGGTTTTTGATCTACTTCATTTCCTCCTTCCTTTTAATTCTTCAGTATCCCAAGTTTCTAAGGTTTTATTTTTCACCATATAATTACTACCTTTTAAAGATTCGTTAAATTTAACTGATCGTTCTTCAATTATTTTATTACTTGCTATATCATAAATACGGTATCCTTTTCTTTCTCTAGCATATCCTAACATTATCCTCTTTTCCCTGGTATGTAAAAAATTTGTTTCGCATTACTTTCGGAATGTGAAAGTATGCCACACATCCAAACTTTTTTAGATAGTTTAATTTGGGTTTTTTACCAGCCCAAATTTCTAAAGGAATTTTTTCTTTTCCTTTCCGGGGTGTTAAATTTGATACTTGAGTACTAAAATTAATTGCTTCTGCCCAGAATTTTACCAGAAGCTCACTCTCATGTAGTAATGTCCTAGCTTTTTCCAAAAGAACTCTGTTTGCCCGTTCAGCTTTCCCATTACTCTCATTGTTATATGGAATTGTTTTTCCATGAAAAATACCTGAATTAGCAAGATAATTATCTAATTGTTGATTTACAAATTCTAAACCATTGTCTTTTCTCAAATGTTTAATTCTTTTACCAATTAAATTTTCATACTTAGCTTTAAATTTACAAAATGTGTCAAATGCTTCACTTTTACTTTTAAGAAAATAAGTAAAATACATTCCAGAAAAATCATCCACTAAGATCATAAAATATTTAGACCCACCAATTGATTCAGTTTGAACAGAGCCACATAGATCCGAATGAATTAATTCTAAAATTTCTGAACT